AGGAAACTCTTGGAGGAAAACGGTATGAGTGTCCCAACTTCAGTTGATTTTCTACTACTAGATAAATACATAATGCTTCCATAACTCCCATTCCACCTCAAAAACAGCCGTGTTTCTTCATTTGACGTCTATCCCTACTGGGTTGTTACCTCGCCATTTGCTTCCACAAATTCTACGTGGTCGTGCGCTTCTAAGGTTGTGACGGTGCCTTCCGGCATCTCGACACTACATAGATGTCAGAAAGAGAATACGCAAGTAAGAAACTGTAATGTATTACACAAAACCTGGCGAGACACCGGTGCGGTCGTATTCGCTCTTAATCTCGCACCCTTGCTCTTCGATAGCCTTTCTGGCTCTACAATATTTGTAAGTAATTTGCTACGCCGTCGCTGGAGGTACTTATTGGTTCGTACTCAGTATACTGCTCCTCTGAAAGGTTCTTCTTGACTCCGACCTAGGTATAGTGAGTCAGTTGTATGTCCGTATATGTCAGGAATGGACGTAGTGTTCGTACAATGTAGGAAGACATGGTGGTGGTTTGGCTTATGAGGGGTTCAGTGGAGTGGTGTATGTCTGAAGGTGTATTGATTGATCAAGATTATAAAGTCTAGTTACTGGGTAGGTCGATATATATTTTGTAAATAGGAAAGGAAGAAAATACGAAGGTAGAGATGAAGTCTTATATAGATTCTGAGCAGAAAGGTTTCAGGTGGGATGGGTTGCATGTTACCAAGCAGATGGAGGGGACCTCTATCACGATTAATGATGGCCTACTCATACGTCATCTCTAGGGTTGACACGTCTGTGATCATGGAGGAGATAAGCTTTCGAGACTGGCCCACAAGGTTATCATGAGGCATACCGGTATGCAGATAACTGAGTAGACTGGCTCGATTGGTTATAGGGGGAGATGAAGTCTCCGTACATTTTACCAAGATTTTACCCTGTTTTATGTTACTTGCATGAGATTCTTCATCAGGTGCCACTGCATATCTTCAGCCGTAAAGTTAGTCCAATAGCCAATAGCCGGCTAACGTCTAAACTCACCAAATCCAAAACACACGTTCCCTATCCTGGAATGAGATCTGGATGTACGACCCAAGTTGGGATCTATTCTCAGTCTAATCGTCGCTTTTTCGACAAGGCAGGCTAATGGAGATGAGGAAACCTTCAAAATGGGTGAAGGGGTGGACTCGCTAGTTTCGAAAGTGGATAGAGAGAGCATTGGACATTCTGCTGATTCATCTGCCTGCGAATACCTGAGTACAGAGTAGAAAGTACCTAGGTAAGGGTAAGAGTAAGACGAAACCTGTAATTCAAAAGGGCTTAGTGTGTTCTGGATTTGGTAAGTCAATATGGTATCCGAATACCAGCTTCCCCATACATACCATCAAGATGGTAAGCTATCTACTAGTAGCCCATCTGGGTGAAAATGGTGGAGTGGACCTCGGAGGTTATTTATAGCAACCTTATCGCGGTACCACAACTCTCGATCAGTGCCACAAACGCCACAATTTGACACCTTCCTGTCCAAGCAGGTACTTTGATGATAACGGTTCAATTGAATGGTATACGTTCACATTATCAACATATTCGCTGTCCAGAATATCATTCATGAAGAAGAAGAAACAGTAAGATATATTGTGTATATAACAAGATCTACTTTGACGATTTGACGAAACCCCTATAATATGCTTGCACCATATCTAGTACCGATCAGGTACTAGAGTAGAACGTAAGGAAACTAAACAAACTGGGGAATATGGACAAGATACTACATCTACTCAAACACCATCCGCGAAAGCCCCACCACCAGCCGCAGTATCAACCACAATACTATCCTTCAGGCCACAAACATCGAACAGAGCCCTGGGCGTCAGGTTCTTTGGAGTTCCTACGACACCATCCCTCTTCAATCGCAAGAAAGTCTCTTGGATTGCCAATATGGCTGGAGCGAGAGCAGCAAAAGAGAAGATCATGATACGGAATCCCATCTCTTGTGCTTCCTTGGTGGTGATGATTGGGGTGCTGCCATTCTCAACCATGTTCAAGAGTATTGGCCATGGGGCGAACTCCTTCACAGTCTTTGCAGCCATCTCCTTCGAAGTGTAACCCTCGAGTAAACCAACATCAGCACCCATATCCCGAGCGACCTTCAACCTCTTGACGCACTCGTCGTAGCCAAGTTGTTGTAGTGCATCTGTGCGTGCGATCAACACAATATCGGAGTTCATGGCCTCTTTGGCGGCTTTGGCTGCACGAATTCTCATGTAGAACTCTTCTGCTGGAACAACCTTTTTGCCTTGGAGATGTCCACAACGCTTGTTTTGGATTTGGTCCTCAATGTGGAATCCAGCAACACCGGCTCTGATATACGACTTGACGGCTTTGTCAATGATGAGAGGGCCTGCACATTGGAGAAAGGGTCAGCTATTTGTTTGTGAAGAATCTTGTGCACAATCCCACTTACCACCGTAACCTGTGTCCATGTCGGCAATCAAAGGTGGGCCATAAGGATCAAGATTTGCAATCATCTCGGCATGCTCCTTCATGTCAGCCAATTGGGCTATGCCAAGATCTGCCATGCCCAAGCGGGAGGCCGTGGTACCTGCTCCAGTCTAGACCCGAAGATTAGCAACGTATTTCCCCACGGGTAGCTAGCGCTGCCATGGAACTTTAAACGTACCATGTAAAGGGCTGAGAAGCCGACTTGCAGGGCAACTCGTGCCGAGATACCATCGTAAACACCAGGGCAAACGATCAACTCATTGGAGTCCCTGAGCATGTTCTTCAACTTTGTTGCGCCGCTTTCAAAGCCTGTCGTTTGCTTGACCGCATTGTTGAATGTCAACATGACTTTGTCTGAGTAGGCAGGCATATCAATGTTGAAAACATGAGTTTTACCATCGTAAGGTGTAACAGCGCCATCTGGCGAACTTGGAACCTAGACAATCATCATTAGCTTTGACTCTCTGAGTAACTGCTTTGAATGCTGCATACTGAATACTCAGTCACAGTCGCCATAGACTTCTCTTGGAGGATTGGGAGTGATTCCATAATGGGAGCCATAATGATGTCAAGTGTAATGTAGAGTAAGTAGTGATCTTGTTGTTGATGATTGTATTGCAGATATCACTGTACTATTGGTGTGCTTGATGATCGAGGTGACTCCAAGCGGGGACTGAAGGGGTTTTTATAGATCTCTCCGACGACATCTCCTCGGTCTCGGTCTTCTCTATCTATCTTCTTTGCCTCTTCGCATCTGCCTGCACATTATTTTTCCGTCCATTCAGCGCCAACGAAGACGAGATGTGTCCAAGAGATGAATCTCGACCTCAATGATCGATACCTAATGTATCACCTCGCAGAAGGAAGATGAGAATGTAACGTCTTGGTACTGTATTTTGAGTCGTATTCTACATCCTCGTGGATGTAGATGCAGAAAATCCCGCAATGTCACGTCCTTATCACATATCATAGATTATATTGGCTATCACCATTCTAATGCGAGTGCCGGCGGGTATCATTACTACCGTCGAGGTTATACCGAGAGATACATGAAGAATCGGCATCAGATGCAGGCAATTTTCAAGATTACACCAAGACCTAAGAGCTGCAGGAAGAGCATGAATCAAATTCCCTGCCATACAAAGAAATACCAAGGCATACATGGGGATCAAGCTCCAGTATCTTGAAACCCGTTATTCTTCAAATCAATACCAAGTGATGCAAGCTTTGTCAGAATTAAATTCATCTTCCCTACAAAGTAATACCAAGCGCTACAGGAAAAGTCAAAGCCGAATAATTCCTAAGTACCCAGCCCTTGGCGATAATTGCCCTCAAGCTTATTCTCATCGTTTAAAAATTGAAAGTCATTCAGTACCTCCTCTACAGTTGCATGAGCTTACGAAGAGATTACTACACCAGCTCCACACAATAGAGTTCCTTTTTATGTCTTATAAGTCAAGATATCCATAACATCTACTCGTATTTCGAGGTCTTGGCCTGGATCACAAGGATTTTGATAGGTCCGCTCGGTGTGACAATTGTTCTTTAGTATCAAATTTTCAGCCTTCAGCTGTGCTTTTTGCTTATATGGTTACAGCGCTAAAAAGGCCCTTTTCAATTTTGTTGAAGAAACGCTCCAAGAGCCAAGCTGGCCAAGCCAAGATTGGCCTATCCACAACATGTATTCCACCCTATTGCACAAGGAATCGACAATAAATCAACCTGTGATGTTCTTAGAAAAATTTATCATTATTGACAAAAAACTATGTGCTGAGTTCAAGCAAAGCGGTGTGTACAGTTTTTGTTACACAATGGTTCAGCAGGTGAAAAATGAGAGTATAATCTTCAGGTTTGGGCACATCTACGGAAAGTTGAAAGGGGTTCGCATAGTTCTCCACAGCTTTTCAACGGGTATTAGCGACTATGGAGCACGCAAAGTGCCAAGGCAAGATTAAGATAACGGACTGACCCGAGTTCTATGCATTAGGGAGATTTAGGAGATAAGATTTAGGTGATAATGTTGCGAAGGTCATACCGAGTCTTTCTCAAGACACCCATATTAATTCACTCATCTTGGAAATAATTGGCGTAGTGGCGAAAGCGTTGTGGTCCCACAATCTACGATATGTAGCAATAATTCCTACCTCCTCTTTACTCACGGGTAGCGGAGACAAATTGAGGATATTCCGGCTTGGCAAGAAACGATGTTACCTCGATAACCTAAATTGATTGAATTCGCCAGCGTGGGGGGTTTTCCCTTGAAAAATCTTCCATCGGACCTCCTTGATGTCTCGTCAATTAAAACGCCGCTGATGCGCATTTCATAAAGAGGGGGTTTGGCGCTTATCTGCTCATCTATCCATGAATCCAAGGAGTTCAGTTTCTTGCCCGCTTTATTACGCTCCCTTCCTCGGACGCCAAAATTCAAGTTTCTCCAATCTGAAAGAATTTTCGGAACAAATCTCACCGAATCAGATCAGAAGAAGATCAAGATGTCAAAGGAACTTGAAGAGGCATTGCCACATCACAACAGCATGGACATCACGAGACCCGGTGATCCTACTGAGAAATCCTTTCATGCGAAAATGAAGAAACACTTCGCACAAGAAGTAAGCACGGATCATGCAGACATTTTGATGTTGATCTGTTGTCTCATCACTGGATTTCTAGACAGCACATTGTATAATGGTATGGTAGACATGCAAAAATTACAAGATAGAGACGATGACTGACGATCAATCATAGCTTTCAAGACCTTCGTGTCTATGCAAACTGGTAAGTCTTGATGAAGGATCTCCACACACATCACGCCATTCATACGTCTCTCCCTTTGGACGCGCTTTAATCTGATAATATGGTACAGGCAATACGATCTTCGTAGCTCTCGGTGCATCGGATCAGAACAATCGACCTTTTGGTTGGGCAAGATCGCTCATCTCGATCGGTTTCTTTTGCATTGGCTCCTTTATCTTCTCAAGATGCCATCGCTTCTGTGGCCCCCTTCAACGGAGTACTCTCGTTGCTTCGTTCTTAATCCAGAGTTGTTGCATCTTGCTATCAGCTAGTCTAGTCCAGGGCTTCGTCATTGAAGGCTATGTACCGGCTGATTTGGGGACTCATTGGGACCAGGTTGGTCCGATTGCATTGTTAAGTTTTCGTACGTTGGTCTCTATTCACCTCCTGCTCTGTTTCGTCGCAATTGCGATGGTCTCACAACTACTCTCACTTTCTGTTACTTTAACTTGCATCTGGAACTTTCTTCTCCAGCTCACATCCACGCCAATGTCATTCTAACAGTTCTACAGAAGCAGCCGGTCAAATCGTCTCTTCTCGCTTCCTAGGCGTAGGAGAAGTCCCTACCATTGTCATTACATCGCTTCTCTGCGATTTGTTATCCGATCCTCTTCTCTTTGCTTCCGTAACGAAAAACCCGAAGAGAAATCGAAGAGCGATAGCTTTTGTATTGACCATGGTAGGTGCGATTGTTGGAGGGTGGGTTAGCAAGGTTACAAAGAGTGTTAGTCCTATGCTCTTTGTAGCGGGTGGTTGTAAAATTGTGTTAACCCTAGTCTGGGGTTTTTGGAAAGAAAAGGTATAGAGGACGGAAACTTGATCTTTGATCAGGGGTGAAAACACGAATTATAATAATATAGAAGGTGGTGGGTGGACTGCGTGATTAGAGAAGAACAGATAATTTAGAAGTGTAGATGAATATAAATTGTGCAGTATCCCATACCAAAAAACGCGACAGCAAGTAGTCGTCTTATCAAGGTTCTCTCACCGTCCAATTATACTTCCATATGTCCGGCTAGCAGCAGCTAGCCGTCGCTAGCCCATAGATTTAACTTTTATCAAATCCAGATTCTTCTATCATTATAATCCTTGTGATCTGATAAGGGATAAGGATGGATTCTGTGGTCAGGCTAACCGTAACAGGACTAGCGCTCACGATCGGTGCTGAATTTTCCGATGCTAGGTAAAAAAAATATTTCGAATCTTATGAAGATTTCAATGTCGTCGGCGGATTAAAGTAGCTTTTCAACTACTTCAATCAGTTAATCATGGAAGAACAAAAGAATAGGCCTCACAGGGCCCCTAAGGAGAAGAAGAAGCAGACTGGAGGTTAGTAATTGTTCTTTCAATTGGTAATTTCTATATGCTAACATGTTTGACAGAGCGCAATCCCAAAGCATTCAGTTTCGCAAACCCAGGAAGATTGGCAAAAAGTGCTGCCAGATCGCATGATGTATGTTCAATCATCTAGGACTTGATGCGCTAGGTGACTAACTTTTGCAGATCAAAGAAAGACGTCTTCATGTTCCTCAAATTGATCGATTGCCAGAAGAACCACCGCCACGACTTGTTACAATTGTTGGACCACCAGGTGTTGGAAAGACGACTCTCCTCAAATCTTTAGTCAAACGATATGCGAAAGAGACACTATCAGATCCTCAAGGACCCATTACAGTGGTCACTTCGAAGCGTCAAAGACTTACATTTGTAGAATGTCCGAACGAACTCGAAGCTATGGTGGATATATCCAAGGTGGCAGATATTGTGTTGTTAATGATTGACGGAAATTTTGGTTTCGAGATGGAGACTATGGAATTCTTGAACATTTTATCTTCGAGTGGTATGCCGGGTAATGTTTTCGGAATTCTCACACATCTAGATCTTTTCAAGAAACCACAAACTTTGAAGGATGCAAAGAAACGACTCAAGAACCGATTTTGGAGCGAATTATACCAGGGTGCACATCTATTCTATCTATCTGGAGTTATCAATGGACGTTATCCGGATCGAGAAATCCATAACTTGTCGAGATTTATTTCTGTTATGAAGAACCCAAGACCTTTGATTTGGCGCAACACACATCCTTACACCATTATTGATAGTTTCAGGGATATCACCCACCCTACCAAAATTGAGGAAGACGAGAAGTGCGACCGAACGGTTGTCTTGTCAGGTTATTTACGAGGAACAAATTTCGCAGCGCAAGGCCAAAGGGTTCATATACCAGGCTTGGGTGATTATTCAGTATCTGCTATGGAATCATTACCAGATCCTTGCCCTACACCATTCATGGATGCAGCGATTGCCAAAGCATCTGGAAAGACTGGTAGAAGACGTTTGGATGAGAAGGAAAAGAAACTCCATGCGCCAATGTCTGACAAGAGTGGACTGAAAATTGATGGAGACACTATTTGGATCACTCGTGAGAAAGGTTTTAATTTCGACGCAGATGCCGAGGATGACGAACGTGGGGAGGGAGAAGAACTGATCGTTGGTTTACAAGGAGAAAGAAGGCTCCTTGGTGAGACTCAGGAGGGTGTCAGATTATTCAGCAATGGTGAAACCATCAAGTCGGTTCCCGAGGAAGAAGATTCTGGACGAAAACATCAAAGACGCGCAAGATTTGTCGGAGGAGATCAAGCTTCAGACAATGAGGACCTCGATGGAGTTGCCAGCGACGAAGAATTCGATTCTGGTGATGAAGCAGAAATTACCGAAGACAAATTAGGAAAAGCATTCAAGAAAGACAAAGATGAGGCAGGTGGCGATATTGAATTCGCTGACAGTGATTCTGATCTTGGTTCACTTTCTGGTGATGAATTGGATGAAGATGATTCGGATTCTGATGATGAAGATGGGGCAGCTCGCTGGAAACAAAATATGTTGGAAACTGCACGCAAACTTCATGGACAACGAAAATCTTACCGGACTGCAGATTTGGCAAAACTTATGTACGATGAGTCGCTTACTCCAACAGAAGTGCTCAAAAGATGGAGAGGGGAGATTGAAGAGGAAGAAGAAGACATTGAACAAGAAGAAGACGAAGACGAATTCTTCAAGAAGACTGGTAGAGAGGACGAAGATGCAATCATGGATGATCGAGCAATTCCATTGCTTGATTATGAGAAATTAGAATCAAAGTGGTCTGTGGAGGATAATATCGAGGAACTCCGACAACGTTTTGCGACAGCAGATTTATTAAAGGGCAAGGGCAATGGCAGTGGCAGTGATGACGACGAGGATGACGATGAGGAAGACGAAGATGATGAGGGTGATGGAGAGTTCAAGGATTTGGAAACTGGCGAAGAACACAAAGCAGACGAGCCAGTGGACATTGAGGCCGAACGAGAGAAGAATGCTAGAAGAAAAGAAGAGCTTAAACTACGATTTGAAGAAGAAGACAGAGATGGGTTCAACAACGATAAAGCTAATGCTAGACGAGAAGCTGGTGGAGATGATGAATTTGGAGAGGATGAATGGTATGATGCACAGAAAGCACAAATTCAAAAACAACTCGATATCAATAAATCCGAATTCGAGAATCTTGACGAAAGTCAAAGAATCCAAGTTGAGGGTTACCGCGCCGGAATGTACGGCAAGATTGTTATTGAGGGAGTACCATCTGAATTTGTTACTCGATTTAATCCAAGAATGCCAATCATTGTGGGAGGTTTGACCCCAACCGAGGATCGATTTGGTTTTGTACAAGTCAAGATCAAGAGACACAGATGGCACAAGAAAATCCTCAAAACAAATGATCCTCTTATCATTTCTCTGGGATGGAGAAGATTCCAAACCCTCCCAATTTACAGTACTTCGGACAATCGAACAAGGAATCGTATGCTCAAGTATACTCCTGAACATATGCATTGTTTTGGTACATTTTACGGTCCATTCATTGCGCCCAATACTGGATTTTCATGTTACCAATCATTTTCTAACAAGAATCCTGGTTTCCGAATCGCTGCCACTGGAACTGTTATGACAGTCGATGAATCTTCAGAAACGGTCAAGAAACTCAAGCTTACTGGTACTCCTTACAAGATCTACAAAAATACAGCTTTCATCAAGGATATGTTCAACACGTCATTGGAAATCGCCAAGTTTGAAGGAGCCTCGATCAAGACAGTTTCTGGTATCAGAGGTCAGATCAAACGTGCATTGGCCAAGCCAGAAGGTTACTTCCGTGCAACCTTTGAAGATAAAATCCTCATGAGTGACATTGTTTTCTTACGGGCCTGGTATCCGATTAAGCCTCACAGATTTTACAATCCAGTCACCAATCTCATTGGATGGGAGGGTATGCGGTTAACCGGTGAAGTCCGAAGAGATCAAAATCTACCTACACCAGACCAAAAGAACAGTCACTACAAACCTGTTGAAAGAGTAGCTCGTCATTTCAATCCTTTACGAGTTCCTCGTGCATTGGCTGCAGAACTTCCATATAAGAGTCAAATTATTCAAATGAAGAAACAGAGCAAACCAACATATATGCAAAAGAGAGCAGTGGTAGTAGGAGGAGAAGAAAAGAAAGCTAGAGATTTGATGCAGAAATTAATGACGCTCAGAAATGATAAGGTGGCAAAGAGAAAGGTTGCAAATGAGAAGAGGAGAGAAGTGTACAGGAAGAAGGTGGCGGAGAATGAGGAGAAGAGGGGGGAGAGGGAGAAGAAGGAAAAGCAAGAGTACTGGAGGAAGGAGGGAAAAAAGAGGAGAGCAGATACAGATGGTGGTGGTGGTGGAAAGAGAAGAAAATAATGGGTGGCTGAGGATCAGAATTGCATTTCTTGGAGTTTCTTGGTTGAGGGCTTGTGGTCTTGGTAACAAAAATGTACAAAGTCCGAAGTACGAGTAGAATTATTCCGATACGAAAAAGTTAAATGGTTCAGGGATCTGATCTGATCACGAATATTTGAGTTCTCGATTGTGCATGAAAACTCATATGCTGTGGAGATATGAGACGATAATCTCGCATTTATTCAGCTCATTCCATGCATCACACCTCGCATTACTGTTCTAGTAGCGCTGACAGTGCATGTCGTCCCCATAAAAATGTTTTCTTTCAGTATGTCTAAACGAGGTGGTCCTGAAGAACATTATTCCCCGTCTCTCTCCGATAGCTGATTAGATACTGTACGACATCTGGTCGAACACCGAGATGAGATCCGCAAATTTCATGTGAGTAGAGCACGGCACGGCTAAACGGAGGTCTTACCGAGTCACATAATTACCCCTGTCTCCCATTTTTGCGGGCCGGAGTATTACCGAGGCAAACTGCGGGAAACGTGGGGTGTTTGATCCTTTAGCTTACTGAGTGGGGATTCGGTGAGCTAAGGCTTATCAATCTATCTTTCTTCATGCTTGGGTGCGGATAACCTTATTGTTTACTCTGCCGAGTCTGCATAGTTGAATCTTCAATTGAGTGTAGATTGTATCCTGAACAATCTGTTTCATCGATTGCACTGCAGGACGACAAGCCTCGAGATAACAGTCCTCAGGGAATAAACCCCATCATGCCAAGAGCGATTACAATGCAGAAGATAGAGGGTGGGAAACCGGGGAAGGTTTACTATCCGTGTGTTTTCCCTTCATTTTCTTTCTCAAATCGCCCCATCTCTCAATTGCTGCCTAAAATCCATTCAATCCACTTCTAACAACCCCCAGTCTCGAAGTAACCCAACATGCCACCCCTTCCCTATCCCCTACCTCCCTCCTAATCCAAATCCATACCGTAGCTCTCAACCACCGAGACCTATTCCTCCGTCAACATCTCTATCCCTCCCCCTCCTTCACCACCCCACTCTGCGCCGACGCCTGCGGCTACGTCTCTCAGATCGGTTCCGCCGCCTCGAAATCCTGGCTCGGGAAACGCGTGATTCTCACTCCCGGCCGCGGCTGGCATTCCGATCCCTTCGGCCCTGAAGATGCAGGCGGATATAAAATTCTAGGGGGCACGAGTACGATTCCCATTGGAACGCTTATTGAAGAGGTGGTCATTGAGCAGGAGGAGGTGGAAGAGGCGCCTGCGCATTTGAGCGATGAGGAGGCGGCGGCGCTGCCGCTTTGTGGATTGACGGGGTGGAGGGCCTTGGTTGTGAAGGGGGGAGAGGGGAATATGGGGACGGGGAAGAATATTTTGATCACGGGGATTGGGGGTGGGGTCGCGTTGAGTGTCTTGCAGTTTGCGGTGGGGTTGGGGAGTAATGTTTTTGTTAGTAGTGGGGATCAAGGGAAGATTGAGAAGGCGAAGGGATTGGGTGCGAAAGGAGGGGTGAGTTATAAGAGTGAGGGGTGGGAGAAGGAACTGAAGGGATTGTTGAAGGGGTATGGGAAAGGATCATTGGATTTGATTGTTGATGGGGCAGGAGGAGATATTGTTAGGAAGGCGACGAAGTTGTTGAAGGTATTTTCTTTCTTTCATACTTCTTTACTCCCATGGAATCAACCCAAGAAGCTCTACCATCTCATAAACAAGAAAACTAACTTTCTATCACAGCTTGGCGGTACAATAGTTCAATACGGCATGACCATCTCCCCCAAAATGGACTGGTCCATGCCCGCCAACCTGATGAATCTCGAGCTCAAAGGCTCAACAATGGGATCCCGAAAAGAGTTCAGAGAAATGGTTCAATTCGTTAATGAACACAAGATCAAACCAGTAGTATCAAAAGTCGTAAAGGGGCTCGATAATTTAGAGGAGATTGAAGAATTATTTGAGGATATGAAAGGGGGAAAACAATTTGGGAAACTAATTATTGAAGTAAAGGGATCGGAAGGGGGAGAGGGAAAGGGAAAGGAGAGTAAGTTGTGATCTTACTATTATATGTATATATATGAAAGCACAGAGAGGGTTAATATTGTATGTAGGTAGATAGGTAGTTGTATATAGTGGGAGGGTATTTAATATTCAGGGAGTTGTTGAAAAATCTTGGAAGTCTGAGAAGGAGTTGCGGAAGTGCTCCTTCACTTCACTGTTTTTAGCTTGTATTTGTTGGATTATGAGTACATACGAATTATACATGACAATGAATTTCACTATTTGGCGGTTTCGATTCTCCGTTGCGGATATGATGCGATATACCTCTGCAGAGCCAAAGTTTGATCTGCGGGGCATGTCAAGCAGATAAATTGTTTCTATCTATCACTCGTATTTCAAATTACCTCTTTTTGACCGCGTTTCAGTAGCATAACATTGTAATTAAGTTTCAACATACATATATATATATATGTATATGACATGAAGAATTCCAGATTCAAATCCCAAGGAAAACTCGTTGATACCGATCCAGTAACCATTGAAACAATGCTTTTACTTTGGTTTCGTCTTTCCTAAGAGCTAAGATAGTTTGCTTTGATGGGGAGTCGGATGGAAATGATGGGAGTCGGATGGAAATGATGGGAGTCGGATGGAAATGATGGGAGTCGGATGGAAATGATGGGAGTCGGAAGATGGGATGATATGGAAGATGAGTTTGTCGGGGGTTTGTTGTGGTGATTGCTGGTGAGCTTTCGGTTAACAATGGATGGATTCGAGGTGAAGGGGAAGCGAACGTGTTGCTTTGTGAGTGAATTGCAGGGTGGATGGTAATGAATGGGGAGTTTGAGTGGTGTGAATTCCGGAATTCACGGGCTGCGTAGGCAAGTTATAGCGATGGTTCGACTGACTTATGTACGAATTTTAGCAGATTGATTAGACTGAAAGCACCGACTGGATCCAACACTTGTATATAAACTCCTCCGCAAATTTGAGATATCTAGAGACTTTTGCTTCAAAATATCATTGGGTATTATTATCTATATCATGAATCATATCTAAACGCCATCCCATATATACATCATCAACTTTTTCTCTCTCATCTCATTCACGGACTCTCCACAACGTCTACAACCATATTCCTCGTCTCATCTCTACTCTGTTTCAAAAACGGAATCAACTGCGTTCCTCCCGTTCCTCTAACATCCTTTCCTCCCTTCTTCGTCGTCGCAACCGCTAAATTCAACCCCGCATTTTCTTTTTCCGTGCCTTGAGCCATCGCTTTCCGAGATGGATTAATAATGTATCGTGTTACGATTTGGATGTGGATGTTGCGGAATTCGGTGAGGGTTTCAACAGCTTGATTGTAGGCTTTTGTGACAGAGGAGGAACAGATTGATGAGTCGACGTAGTTGTGGATGGGAGAGATTTCGGAGATTTGGTTGAGGAAGGCGCGGTGCGAGCCGGGCATGTAGTTGCGCATTTCCTGGACGGGTGTTAGTGGGAAGATTCGTGGTATGAGGTGAAGATAAAGAAGAGAGGGGTAAACATACTTCTAAGAATCCATGACAACCTTTCTTAGGCTCCACGGTTTCACTCTGTGGTTTGCCCATAGGTCTGGTAGGTACGTGTTTGACACCTAGCACCGCATCCCAGAATTGTATCAAACTACTCTGTGCGTTGCTCCCTCCGCTGTACATTCTCCATTCCCCACTTCCGTTGCCCTCATCATAGAATACACCCCTTGGCAGACCAGCTGCCGACATGTTTTTGCTACCTGCTAGAAATGGTCGGATGATGTGGTAGAAGACCTCGGGATCACATTTTTCATACATGCGTTCAAGGATTTTACCACAATCTTGTATACAAGTTGAGAATTTTTCGAGGCAGGATATTAAGATTTCTGGTTCGTCAGAGCGAACTGCATTCATAGCTTGTATCATTAAGGGGATGACTTCTGCGCCGCGGGCTTCGATGGCGACGGAGACGAGGTAGAACCAGGATTCATCGGGGGTATTGGTGAAGGTGTGTTGACAGGAGAGTTTGTCTAGATCGGTGAGATCTTGCGTTGAGGAACTACTGGTGAAATTCCAGAGATTGAGAGCGGCGTATGTGGCGGTTGGGGGGAGACCGAGGTGGGATGAAACGACTAGGAAGGGTTTCGATATTTGAGGGGGTAATAACTGTTGCTGTTAGTATAAGAATACGTCAATTGTGATGTTAGGGCTCGTTTACCTCTGATGGAAATTTTCCTCCCCAGATATATGAATGTGTCATGAAAGATAACAGATGGTAAGCTCTCCGCCATTCATCTTCCTCTTTTAAACTCGATGTATCGAGTATAGGTAAAGCATCGGCATGTTGTCTGAACAATCCTTCCTTGAGTAAAAAAGGGATCTCGTCTACTAGATCTTCCCACTCAACGTAGGCACTCAATCGTGGAAGAGGATTGACATCTGGAAGGAACCCATTCTCTGTCGAAACTCCAAATTCGGCGAGATTGATATTCAATGGACCAAGCATTCTGAAAGAAATTGAAGATTTTGTTGAGGAATATGCAGGAGAAGCAGGATGCAACGAAAAGACAAGAAAATGGTAACTCAAGCACGGCTTTTGTTATGCTGTAACTTTTTACTTTTGCTTATACACGAAACTTGGGATAATGATAGAAACAACTAGTGAGAATTCAATAGACTCTTGATTCAAAACAGAAGGATACTAGTTTTACTTTTCTACTTTCGTCTCATCCCTCTGTTACGCCGTATAATATACGACAAGGAGAGTTTTCGGGCATTTCCACAATACCCGTATCCATTCACAGATAATAGTGATACCATGCGCGTGATTTGTTATCGCGTAAGAATAGGAGGAGGAAGCTAAATATGTGGAGACGGAACACGGATGCGGAAGCGGATGCAGAGGAAACTTTGTTTTATTCCGACGGAACACGGATATCGATGACAGCACGATGAGACTGAATGAAGAACAGGATCGCCTACAAAGTGACCAGACTTGACGTTGTCGTTGATCTTTTGAATCAGATCAGTTTCATCCATCTTATTCTGTTTTTAAGAGAGAAACAATTGCATCGCAATATAATATAATATCAACCAGATTTGTAGTTGTATATTATTGTCACGACTATCAACACTCCCACCAGATTTCGCCATCTCAGCAAAATGGGTTCCATAGCAAAGGAAGAGCAGCCATCGACCAAGGTTGAGAAGCCAACCTTTTCATCCAAAGCAAATACACTTGAATTTGCGCAATCACTTGATGCTAAAGATCATATGCGAAGATTTCGCGATCAATTTATTATTCCATCCAAAGCCAACATTAAAACAAAGAAGCTTGCAAAACCAGGTTCGTTTACACGTGCCTTCTACTCGCATACCCCGCCATCACATCACATGACTCAACATGAATATTAGCTCACAGTCAATCAGGTCTTTCCGATGAATCATCCATATACTTCTGTGGAAATAGTTTAGGTCTCCAACCTAAATGTGTTCAAGAGTATCTTCAAGCTCATCTTGATACTTGGTCTTCCATTGCTGTCCACGGTCATTTCCGTGATTTGGAGGATTCTCCTCTAACACAATGGCAATTGCTCGCCGAACATGCTTCCAAGCAATGTGCACCCATTGTAGGAGCCAAGGCTTCCGAAGTTGCGATCATGGGTACTTTGACTACAAATTTACATTTATTGATGGCTTCTTTTTACACACCTACTCCGGAAAAGAGTAAGATTATTATGGAATGGAAAGCATTCCCCAGTGATCATTATGCTATCGAGTCACAAATTAGGGGACATGGATATAACCCCGAAGAAGCTATGGTGATGATTGCACCAGATGAGGGAAGCTATGAGATTTCTACTGAGAAAATCCTCCGCACAATTGACGAGCATGCATCCACTACCGCTCTTCTCCTCTTACCCGGTATTCAATACTACACCGGACAACTTTTCGATATCAAGACTATCACAGCATATGCACAATCTAAGGGATTGCTGGTAGGATGGGATTTAGCACATGCAGCTGGAAATGTCCCACTACAACTTCATGATTGGAATGTCGATTTTGCGGTTTGGTGTACGTATAAGTATATGAATGCCGGACCTGGAAGTATCGCGGGTGCATATGTGCATGAGAGACATGGTGAAGTAGATTACAGTGAAGGAGAAGAAAAGCCAAAGTACAGACATAGATTGATGGGATGGTACGGAGGAGATCAAAGTTGTCGATTCTTGATGAACAACAGTAAGTTCTTTCTATCTCATCTTTTGCGCTCAGACGGATATTAACAAATTTCTAGAATTCCGTCCCTCTCCCGGTGCCTCCGGCTACCAAGTCAGCAACCCGTCAGTCGTCGATCTCACATCTCTCTGCGCCGCCCTCTCAATATTCAACCAAACATCCATGGCTGAGATCTCTCAAAAAACTTTTCATCTAACCGCCTACCTCGAACATCTCCTCTTATCAACCAATACCTCAGATTCCCCTGCTTTCCGCATCATCACCCCTTCCGATCCTTCAGCAAGAGGAACACAACTTAGCGTTCTATTAAAACCCGGACGTTTAGAAACTCTCTCAGACATGCTCGAAGACGCAGGTATTGTTGCCGATAAGAGAAAACCAGATGTCATTCGTGTGGCGCCTGTACCACTCTATAACACGTATGAGGATGTGTGGAAATTTGTGCAGATTTTCAACAAGGCTTTGGAGAAATGTGAAGAGGCTTAATTGGGGGTTTTAATGGGAGCTCAAAAGGGTGTGATATGTGTATAATTGCATAGGGTCTTACTGGTTTTTTGTCGTACATATTTTAACGTATATATCCAAATGATTTAACGATTTTCAAACAAGACTTACATTATAATTGCAGATAGTGTATTGATGTGAGGATGGTAGGGGGAAATTACGAGCCACACTTTGTGGTTTTGAGAAAGGGAGTTTAAGTCCCTGAAGAAATATCTCCCGTTTAAGTTGATTGTTATTCCGTGATGGGGCATAGTAGGACTGAATATGTTTCGCCCGTCTGAGGGGCATCTAAAACGTGCTTAATTAAAGATTCGTGGAATTTCTTAATTTTTGGGGGGGGGGGGGGGGGGAAAGTGACCATTGTAGTTTCAAAAAAAATTCAAAACTTCTATGTATCGAGTGGAAACCCCGCAAGTGATTGATCTGAAGTATCATCAATGCTATCTTATCCATCGAGCAAAGAAAGAGCAGCGTACTTGAACGTAACGCCTTTGCTGAAAACGCCTCCAAATCTAACCTCCCACTTCCCCAAAGAACCCAATCATTTAGACCTCTACACCCATCTCCAAACCCCCCACAATTGGCAATTCTACCTCCCCATATTCCGACTCCATATCTCCTCCCCACCTTTCAATCGCTCTAGTCATGGGACAGGCTACCAACAGCATCCTTTCATAAATCTCCTGTTCCAATTCTCCTCCTCCCACAATCCCAATTGTCCAGCCCTCGCTCCAACATTTATATTCATAAATCTCTCCAAACTCGACATTTGTAGAATCATCAGATTGATCTTCCCATGTCCGTTGTTCATTCAGAACTTTCCTACCTAAAATTTCCCATATTTTACCTGCGTCAACACTGACCGGTAGGTGAAATAATAGAGGCAACAACCCTCCTAAATGCCCATCCTTCATCACGCCATATAAGCATTGGATAACCATACTAATCATGACGGCTCGTCGTATACTTTCCAGAAGTACCCATCTCTCTGCGTAATCTTGAAGCTTGCTACCATTACTATGGACATCGTCTGTGGGAAGCCGTGTATCCATACCTTGTGCTAATAATCCTACGTATTCAATTTGTAGTTGATTTGTCCATTGCATTAGCAACGGTATGTGTCTTTCGGCGTTTTTCTTTTGTCTTTCATTTGAGGACCAGAGACGGATGATTTGATATAGATTCAAGACTTGAACTGCAATAAGCCATTCGGATGAGCCCCAATAATCTTTTTCACTCGAGGAAATAAGCTCAGAGATTTTAGAGTTGAGAATCGAGAAGGCATGAGGAGAGCCGAGGGTATGAAGTGCACAGATAGAAAGTGCGTCGGTATATGGAGTGGGTAGGGGTTTACCAAGATTATGGGATGAGAGAGGATGGATAAAAGAGTTGTGGGAGTGGAGTGCGAAGGATGAAACGAATGATTTCAGTTGGGTTGAGATATAGGCGATTTGAGCGGGGCTAAGGGTGTTGCGAGGAGGAACTTGAATAGATAAGTAAGGTGATGGTAATGGATCGATATAGAGAGACAGAGTCTGAGGATCAAGTGATGCAAGTGGATTGGTGATTTGAAATGATATGTCAGGTGGGAGAAAAAGGGCGGTGTTACTGGTGGAATTCCACGATGCGAGATCCTGGTTAGATTGTTGATCTTGGTAATCCAAGAGCGATATGCTGTCGTAGGGCAACGAATCAAGACATGCCTCATACGAATCAGTGAAGATTTGTGCTGTCGCAATGCTCTCCACAGGAACCGTGGTTGATTTAGCACGTTGTGAAGATTTTGTTATTTTCTTCTGCGATACCTCATTCACCTATATCCACAATTTCAGCATTCTATGCATCACGGTACTGCTATGATACAATAAGGCCGAACGATTCACTTACATAAACACAACTCAGATCCTTTGTATTGCACCTGGAGCATGCTGGCAACAACAAATCGCACCTCCGTTTTGCTTTGACACAAGCCGTACACGCCTTCTTCCGAGTCTTGCTTTGGTGGACTAAAACCGCAGTCATATCGATTATACTTCGATGGAACTGAGCCTAGAACTTCCTATCGTGAGTGCAATACAATTATTCAGTATTGAAGCGGAATTCCACTCCGGTTTGATGTTATATAGTTTGAGCCCGTTGTAGTCGCCCACGGACATAAGCTTCCAGCGGAGTTCCACTGCTCGTAAGCATAAAGTGGGTACCTGACTCTACGTAAGCAAAAAAACAGGCGGGAATTGATCACCATTCGAAAGACTTTCAACAACTAAGATCTCTTTTCGATATAATATTAAACAATTAAAATACTTAATTTTCAGCTCCCGGTTTCGTGCTTGGCGCGGCCGGACACAAGTTGATCGAAAACAATGTGGCCGTAGCAGAGCCTTCATTCAATCCAATTCTGGGCATTGGTGAATGCTTTGATGACAAACTCCACAGAAATGGAGCTGATATAACACAGAATGGGAGGACTCGAAATATTTTGATGACTTTGTAAAGAGCGAACAGTTTCCAACCTTTATTGCAAAGATAAAGCCACACATTACTGCACCGCCGAGGCCAGAAGTATACGAGACTGATCTCTCACCAAAAGATATCTTCGCGTCCCCAATAATCGAAGTCTTTAGAATCAACATTCATGAAGACTCTGAGAAAGGAAATGCAGCCAAAACAGCATGGGAAGCATTTGCAAAGGCGTTGAAGGATACACACATTCTGAGTGGTGTCAGTGTAAACTTGCCAGAGAGATTGTTCTTGGGATTGATTGGTTGGAGTGGAATCGAAGTAAGTCTCCTGAAAGATCATTGATTTTTGTCTGACATGTACAGCAACGAAAATGGCCTTGGACAATGTAGAACATCTCAAACAGGCTGTCGATAGTTTGAAAGATTCTCAATCGTTTGTTGCTGAGCTCAATACCGTTGTCTAGGTTTCGTTCTTGGGATAGGAATGTATGGTTGAGGATCAATACAAGTCTCAGGCTATTTTTCTTTTCTTAATATAAGATTGCTTCTTGAAAAAGTTCTCGCAAGTTTTAACGTGAAGTGATTCATCAAATTCGAATCCCATATAACACTGGAACATTATGGGGGTCTGGGGTTGGCTAATGTTGAATAGCTGCCAAAATGAACTAGCTTTGAAAGGTTTGGCTATTAAGCTGTTTGGGTCGCAACATGCTTTCAGTTGATCTCCCCTTCCCTCCCGTCGCGAATGTCGCTAATCGTCTAACGCTAGCTTATTAAAGATGCAGCGACGCCAATTAATTATGGCCTTGGCACGACTTTTGTCCTACCAAGTTACTTTCAATACTTGCTTGTGGTTTCAGTTCCTAGGTATTGCGTTGTTATAGTGTCGACATGGCGCCAACTCCGCCTCAAAGTCTTTGCAATATTGAAGATGGCCAGCGGAGAAGAATTTATATATTATGGGACAACCCCCCTGGCACAGTTCATAATACACACTTTGGCATCTTCGCCTAATACCTCACCAGTCACTTTTGTTATTTATGGATATGACCTCTTCGAATCCTTCGAAAATCACGGTGTGGGATCGTTTTCAGATATCAAGATAGGAAATTTCAAGGGAAAGGGATAGGTATGGAAGCTGTCGAGAAATTTTCACCGAACATTTCGCGGGCAAAGGGAGGCTCAAAGGTCATTTCAAGGCATGAGCTACGTCCTATCACTACATTGAACCCTTTGAACGAGCTTGATCGTATTAAAGCCGGTGCATACATGACAATATTGTTGTTGATGAATCTATGCCAGGGCAAAATAATGACGGACAGATTCGAAGATTGTACAGAACTGCAACCTATCAATAACATGACATGCATTGATAATAATGATCTTTGTTACAATCTATTGAAGAGATCAAAAGTCGGCTATTCCAAGATTCTACTGTCATGATTGACTCTCATAGTATTGGCATCATAAAGGAGCTGGAAGGGTTTTTTTCTCGTGAGATATCGCCAGCCTTCACTACGTCCCTTAAGCTGACGCTCTCAACACACCCGACTCTTGGAAGAGATATCATTCAGCTGCGCTATCCGCGTAGCATGGCTGCAATCTACACCATCGGGCCGACTTCACTGGAAGATTATGGGCATCATCCCAAATTCTGAAGTGGGATTCGATTACACTGATGATTGAATCATGATTGTTGAGGCTTTGGTTAAAAGAGATTCCGGACTTCACTGGACTAACTACTCTGTTGCATCAGCTGGCAGAATCTCGTCTGAAGCTGTAGCTGGCCGATAATAGGACTCCCACTTTATATTGAAACATCTTGGAAGCGCGACAAAAAGTCAATCTTTATGCTGTTATAGCCACTCCTTATATGACCCACGAATAGGTACAAAGACCTAGAAAATTGGTATCTTTTGAGGTACTAACGTTAGTTTCAATTCAATTCAAATGTAAACGAACTGAAATTTTGGAAACAAATGAATATCAAACATTGATCATCCAATTAATGACTGAAGCACTTGATGCCTTGAAGGAATGTCTACCAACACGAGTCGGCCTTGACGTGATTGCTGGTTGAATGACGGGATATCACAAACAACTTCTTGCTGGCGCCCTTCCTTCTACCCTTACATGTATTGCAAATTCCCAAGGAGAATTGCACGATATGCTGTGAGCTATAAATTATGGCAGACGGATGGAATAGCCATCACATTGTCCATAACACAAAAGAATTGAGCAACGTGCCAGGTATAAAGCAGCGTGAAGCAGCGCGTCTCGAGGGAGATTACCAAAAATGATGCAAGAAAAGCGCATGGCAAAGTCATAATTTAGATGCATTAACACTCATGAATTCGAGCCGTCCGAAAAAGCCGAAAGATTGAGCAACTCAAAATACGAAGGACGGAAATGGAAAAAAGGAAGAATGTATCCAGGATGCTCTTCAAAGACAATGCCTGTCAACTAGGGTTGGGCGATTTGATGATATATAATATCGCATATTCGTCACTTCAATATAATATATAATATTAGTCAAATCGCATTATATGTATGACTAATCATAAAATCCTATAAAACCCTATAAAAATCCTATAAAAGGCTATTTTGAAGCTATTTTGAAAAGAAGATAATTAGTGTATAAATCACATGATTAGCACCTGACTTTTGGGTCTAATTATACACTAAATTGAAGATTAGAACCCATGAAAAACTTTTTCCAAAAACGACCCACTTCCATTCATCCTGATGGTTTTATTGGTCCAAAAAAACACGTGCATAAGCTTGGCATAATATTTTATATGCCTCAAAAAGCATGATAATATGAAATTATATAATCGACCCCCAAATTATGTAATTCGCTCATCCCTACTGTCAACTACACTACACGGCTCCACAGATCCAGAAGCTAGGATCTCTAGAACAACAGTCCGTTTCACTCAAATGATAGCAGGCATACCCTTGGCTAGCAAAATTCTTTCGTCATTAAATGTCCGAGTCTTGATATCGGAGATTTTATTAACGACTTTGTGTAGGTAGGTAGTTCGAGGTAGTTAGATACTCTCCGCGAGCTTTTGAGACACGTCAAAAGCTATACATCGCTTGACGAATTGAGATTCTGACCATAACACTTGTACCGCATCTGGGCATGGACTCTGGGCAGCTTTATTTACCTACATGATGATATCGGCTCCCTAAGTCGGACGAACACATGGGTACACAAAACATAGTCAGAGGGAAACAAGGGGCCTTCATCTCAGACCCACAAACACACAAACACGCAAGCGCACTTAGCTTGACAGGATCCGCAAAACCATTGACCTAGATGATAAACATCGGAACTATCAAGCCTTTGCCAATTCACCTCGACTCCGATTTAGAGTTCAAAGTTAGCTAGATACTTTGGACTGTTATCCAGATGTCAGATTTCGCTCAACCGTATTCTTCTGAATACCTATGCATTGGTGATAAGAGACTATTAAAGAAATAGCTAGATACCTACTAACAGATGCCGATGCATCTCCCGAACCTTTTTTTCTGATTGGTCTTCACATTGTGACAGGTGACACAACGTTCATCGAAACGAATACTCCGTAGGTATTTATCATTCTACCGCTTCGTGCCCTTGCATGAAACTCTATGTCCCGCCAAACCTATCAAGTATTTAAGCTTCAGGGTCTTCAATAGTCTAGACTACACTCCAACAAACAAACATCAGAAGGGTTCAGCTTGCGAATTCAATCAATTTTCAATGAATACGAAACTCTGATGCGCTTTGGTATTATACTGCTCTTAGATACCTCGTTATTGAGCCTATAGCTAATTCCCCAATCTGCTCGTACGGACAGAAAGTTTGCGACACGCCCTCTGAATATGGTCCACCAATCACTGTGTAGTTTACCATCTCATGGAGTGTGCCTGTAAGTGGAGATTGCCTACTTTCTAGCGCACGAATAGAATATTGAACATCACCCTTGCAAACTAACGGGCTAGTCACCAAATATCAAAGCTTCGATATAACACAATCCATGCACGCAGAAGAGTCACTATCAACATTTTGAAGCAAGAACACAAGAACACAAATTCAAGGTAATATATACAATTTTTCAAGCGTGAGACTATATACAAGGAATAAAGTATTTACAAATTCGAACACAAGGTTCGATATACAAGACGACATCGCGCCGAGTAAGCGCGAACATCAATCAACGATTTACTCAAAACACGAGTTTATCTTATGCGAGGGCGCTATAAGGAGCAATACCGGGGAAGTATGATGCGGGATGAGTTGGGATGGCGATACTAACGGTAATACCTAGACCCTGTGTAATTTCTCCAGGCATGGTGGTGTAGGCATACGAACTTAATTTTGAGTTAGCTTTGAGTTCAACAGCCCAGAAATGAAATAGAAGACTTACGCAGTAGGAACAGAAGTAACGGTTCCAGTCGAAGTGTAAGTTGTGTAAGTCGTTCCAGAATTGAGACAGGGTCCACTTCCATAAGCATTGTTGCACTTGTACAATTCCGAAGATCCGGTGTCAGTCCAGATGTAGAAACTGGAGATGGTGATGTCCTTGCAAGGGATGGCGGCGGGACAGAATAATTGAATAGGAGCTCTGGCTGCACCGTTTGCACAGGTGCCGCGCCAGTGAGAGAAGGTCAAGCCGGAGTAGGTGACGCCACTGCCGGCTACGACGGATTGTCCGGTCCAAGCACTGTCAATGTCAAGGGTGTAGGCATTGCTATGTCCCATGAAATTGTTGAATGTTGCACCGGTGAAGCTACCGGAACCTCCGTTTGATTTGATCATCATCATTTGGTTGCAGTTTTGGGAGTAAACGTGGTTGTACTCGACATTGGAGATTGCTTGGATAGGTGTTAGTTAAAGAATATAGTCGAGGGGAAGCAAAGCTTACCAGTATCAGCACCAAGACTTCCGATAGCACTTCCTCCTGACCAATTGCAGTAGATGTTTTCGACTAAGATGTGGCTAGCAGGACTCTGTGAACAGTTAGAGAGTTTTTCTTCTCGCAGAGATAATATTGATGTCGCACCTTGACAGTAACACATTCATCTTTGTTTGTGACTTCGATATCGTGTGCCCAGATATTGGTTCCCCAGATATCAACACCATCCAAACCACCCTCATTGCCACCACGAATGACCAAATTGTATAGTTCACCGTCTGTGCAAGTGTCGATTGTGAGATGGAATGCAGGAGCTATGCGAAGGGATTAGTACGATGCAGACAGAGAACGACGAATAAGTGAATACTTACAATCAACTAAAACGATGCCATGAACTGAAAAGCTTGTAACTTGGTTAAGACGCAATATTCTTGGACCATATGTGCCCGCTAAAGATACAGTCAGCACAAAGACTTAATTGTTTTAGGACAATGGACTACTGACCCGAGTGGAAGACGTAGCCGTAACCCTGGATAGCACCCTTAGAGTTACCGCTGTAAAATTCGAAATCGGTTGTGTGTTCGATGAAAATCATGTTTCCACTCGCAGTACTAGTACGAATGTTCGTCAGTGAATGCCGCAATTGTTTGATCAATGATGTGGTCCCTTACCCAGTTCGATAGATAGTTCCCTCCAAGTTAATGGATACACCAGTTCCTCCAGTGAGGGTGACCCAAGTGCCGAGACCATAACTTCCAGAGGGGATGTAGACTTGCAATGAGTTAGCAATAGCACGACGATATCGAAGAAGACTTTAAGATATCATACCTTCACCTCCGTTTATACATGCTGTCCATGCTTTCAAAATAGCAGGTCCATTGTCGGTGGTAGCAGAAGCAACACCACCGTAGTTGAGAATGTTACAGATCTTCACCGCAGCTTTTTGAGCTGTTGTAGTGGTAGGACCAACTGTACCGGAAAGTTGACCAACCACGAGAGCTGGTAGGGCCAAAAGGGAGGCAGTAACGAATGAAAACACCGAAGACTTCATTTTGACAATAGAGGGAGAGGTGAGGAAGAAACAATGTACATGCAAAGATCGACCATTTCAACTGGCGATCATGTATCTTTTGAACATTCCAAGTTCAAAGGGGGTTCAGCATTTTCGGTATATCTGCAACCGCGTAGAAGAACCCGTGAACGACTTTGTCCACCCTTCCTATCACACAAGTGTGAATAGATACAGAAATTTTGAGGGAAGATCCTCGCCCATCCCACCAATGGGTTACAATTTTGCCGGAAAGATACATCCATGCAATATTTTTTGACATCTAAAAATATTGAAAGTACACTTTTAGATACAAATAGGTACCGAACTGTGGACACTCGGTGGATTCATGTCCAAAGACGTAAGCAATATAAAAAGTACCGACCCCGATGTGAATGAAATTAATTCCGAACGAGTTCCACTTTTGTGCCCTTCTCCATTTTCTGGACATTAAAATCTTGTTTCGAATGAATGAAAACGGAAGGAGGGCCTGTTGAGATTCTTACTTAAGATTTTCTGTCTTCTGATATAGGGTTGCAAAGAGGGGAAATTAGACTGTCGATCCGTCCATCGGACTCTCATTGTAGGTGGGAAAATTTCTCAACATTTCCGACCCCATAAAACATGGGGTCACAAGGCTTGAGAGCCGAAAAAAGCAAGTCTGGGGAAATCCGGGGTAATGACAAAATAATCACAACTTTTCCGGCGACTTGCAGGTTTACACGTTGTACATGTATGCTTTATTGTCAATCAACCCATGACTGTTGGGAAACGTGGTTATTAAGGTTAATTAGACTGCCTACATGCACTGTAACCAAGCCAACGAAAATCATTGACGCCATGATGCCTCAATCAAGAAACAATTAAACTTCGATCTTGCAAAAATCAGTTGTGATTCGGATATCTCGCCGCCGTACCGAAATGTTAAATGAGTAAGCCCCTTCATCTAACGAACATGAAAACAAAATGAGAAGAAGTATCAATTGAGCTTCCAACCTGCTGCCAGCTCGCCATAAAAAGGAGACTCCAAATGATTGGCCGAGCTCTACATTATGCGTGCCTAGAATGTAGGTATAATAGCAAAAGTTAATCTGTAACGAACAGTAACACAACGACCATGAAGTCAATTGTAAACCTCAAATTAGTTGTCTAAAATGATTGATTCGCATCGTGATAATCACGAGAGATCATTTCCGGGACTTCCGAGCAGACGGTAAATCTTCCTCCCGACCGCGTTTGATTGTTGATCTCACCATGGTTGGTGGGGCTAAGATTACTTTTGCGGGGGCGCAAACTCTCCAGTCTCTACCCGGAGCTTTGTACTTGACTCCAAAACATGTAGTTATGAGAACGTCTCCACCTTCGATAACAAAGTTCGGATGCAATTGAGAGTCATCTAGGGCGTGTATCCTCGAGTCGAACTTTGAATCGGGAGGCGCCCAAATGCTTTCAAACTCTCCTTTGTATGACCCCACGATGTTGTGCAGCTCATTGCCCACTTTTGCCATGCTTTCGTGAAAACTATTCATATTATCACCAGCACCAATCAAGGGCTGCATGATCATATTCATTTTTTCTGACATGCTTGTGCGACGCAATTTCATGCGGTCTTCAAAAGGCTGGGTCTCTGCCATTTGCCGATGATATTCCTGCAAAAATATATCTGCAACGTGCTCGGAAAAGCCTACCATCAATTTATCAGTATAATGTTTCTAGAAGGGCAGGTGGCGTCTTATCTTACAAAGGTATGCTGTCTTCCGTAATATTGCATCGTCACGGAAAGCTGAGTTTCCTTGGAAGGTAAAATCGCATATGATGTATGCAATTACTCCCCTCAGAAAATCCAATGGTTTCAGATGCGTTTTCAACAAAGGATAGTCAACTTTTTGCCTGATGAGTACCCCAGTTGGAACATCCAATAAGCCGCGAATATTAGCCAGCGTCGTGTCAGCATTCGAAGCAGGAACCTTTTCATCCTCGATGCAAAGAAGTTCCCAAAAGCTTTTGGCCCTGGCTAGTGGTGCCATAGAACTGCCTTTTACCAGTTCAGTGTATTGGAGTATCAGTGTCTCCAAATATGCTAATGGACTGGTGATCTGGTCGTCATCGACGCTTTCTCTACCGAGTCTAGAGCGAATGTTGTCTATATCGCAGCTTTGCCTCGCGAAAGCATTTGATGGTGCATAAGTCCCCCTTTCGAGATACCTAGACCCAATGCTGTTGGAACCTAATGCTTCCCTTTGTCTCTGTTCGCAAACCGTGGCATCTATCGACAAAGCCAATGTATTCGCCGAATTTTGGTCAAGGTTTATTGTGTCGTCAGTCGATTGACGTTGATAGATAGGACTGTGTCCAAGCACTATTGAACCCCGAGTCCGAGACAGTTCCGTATTGGGCTGCTCGCTGGACTGGTATAAAGAACTCTCAGAAGCCTTGTTCTTGTCCGATGTCTTAAAGTCCAAGAGTCTGTCTGCCTTCAAAAATCGCGTGTTAAAGACACACTTTTTTCCAGCATCTTTGCATGATTTACATTCCACATCAGCGCTTTCTTTTAGGCATTGTAGCCGATGTCGCTCGCATTGCGTGCATCGGCGCTTCCTAAGATGAGAAAATTTCGAGTTGAGGTGCCCCTTAACCGAAAAATAAGCTGGCATAGCATGGTGACGCTTGGGCAATGGCAGAAGTAGTGTTTTCGCAATCTGCTCTTGCAATGACATGGTGATGATCGAATCCGATGACGTGCTTTGCTGTGCTCTGGACACAGTTGTAGTGATCGAAAGACTAGAGTCAATAGTACTTGTATGAGATGCAAGTTCCTCTTTTTCGGGCGTCATTATAGGCAATTTGATTGAATCTATAGTTTCGTAAGCATTGTGTGTGTTAGATTAAAATCCAAAGCATCGGGATTCCTACCACGAAGATTGCTGTCACTAGCTAAGTTACCAATTAGTGGCCGTACTTCAGCGGCGCTGACAGACATAATTTTTGTACTGAGGGCCATATCAAGGGGAAAGACTGGCATTGTCATTGTGTTGTCTGGGAAGTAGACTATCTTCCTTGTGTATTGAATTTGAAACAATGAAGTAGAATCTTGTTTTAAAGAATATTTGTTATCTTGATGGAAAACGATCTGTCCTCTTGAAGGCAAGCTAACAGCTCGGTGAGATGATCTTGCAGTCTTTAGTACTCTCAGGCCTTATTGCAAAACTGGTAACAATCGGTATGTGAGACAAGACCACGCCACAAACACTGCAGTTAGGCAGATACAAATCAAAGGCCTTGACTTTCAGTTTTCTCAAGCCAGTTTGCATCAATTAATGGTGGTGTAACCCTGTTGAAAGAGACGCCTTGAATAACCCTAGTAAATATGTAGCAGAATATGCATATGGCAAAGTACAGATTGACAAACTCGGTGAACTGTTTTGGTGACCACTCAGTAATTCAAAACGGATCTAATGCTGTGCAACCATCCAAATTGGCAGTATGCAGTAGCTCACAATTACCACAATTTAATATGGCGCGTTAGTTGCAAAAGTGCGGGACAGGACTATTTGTAAGTATGGCCGTTCTCAAGCTTTACACTTGTTCTAACATATATATTTCAATTAGGTTGATGAAGAAAGATTGAAGATAACAAATCCGTTATGTAATACCCGGAACTGGGCATCTTTGTGTTCTACTTGTACTAATTTACACTCCGAAAATGTCTGTTATGGAATCGAGAAGTGATCAGTCGGCTTCGAAAGGTAGATTGATCATGGGCATAGATATGGGAACTACCAGGGGCGCGGCTGCCGATTTGCTACTTCCGGGCGGCGATCAAGAGCTTGGGCATCAGCATGAGCCAGAACCTTTCCTGTTTGCCGATTGGAAGGGCTCTTGGGGAAGTGGAGATGAGTTTCCTTTGACAGCACTCTACTATAACGAAAATGATCAGGAGGAGACTTTGCCAATGACCGGTCATGAGTTGAGAATGCTGCTGGATAGCGCAGTACCATTCAACACAGAGCGATTCTTCCCTCTATGGAAGTTACTTTTTCACGATAGTAGGGACCCGGTCACCGCCTCACTCCAGAAACCGATGCTAGCAAGGCTGGAGAAAATGAACAAAACGAGAGAGGATCTCCTGCGGGACTGGGTGTCGATTGTCTACAAGGAGCTGATTTACGACTCCTTTGGCAATTTGCCTGCTTTGAGAAAGGGGATGGTACCAAACCTCGAAGACCTAAAAATCGAAGTTATCGTTCCAGTGCCACCAGGGCGATCGACAATTGCACATGAACAGGTGCGGAACGCTTTAGTCCAAGGCCCTATCACATCGAATCAGGTGTTTTTGGTTTCAGAGCCAGAGTGTTCGTTCGGATGGTGGTGTCACATGGAAGCCGAGAAAGGGCAGCATGAGTGGAAGGTGAGCAGAATTCAAGTCAGCGGGGTCTTGACTAACGAAACTAGGTCGGCACAAGGTACATAGTTCTTGATGCTGGCGGCGGCACAGCAGTATGAAACATGCTTCTTTTCGCTCATCGATCTTCATACTGACAGTAATTTCAAAAGTGTACGGTCACCTACAAGTTGACGGGTATCAATCCGCCAAGATTTAAACAGGAGTTTGAAAGTGAAAGTAAGTTTAGGCAGAATAGCTGGAGTATCCTAGGGGTTGACTAATATAAGCATTCTAGGTATGATCTGTGGCGCAGAAACCATTTCCGAGAACTTCAGAAGGCTTCTGGATGCTAAAATTCCAGAAGGAATAGCACATCGACCATGGGCCATACAACACGCTTTGAACTCGTTTAACAAAGGATACAAAAATTATTTCGGAATCTCGAAAGACCCGCGGCCATTCTGCCTTTTAATACCAGGTCTGGTGAATGAGTTGAAAATTTTTCATGAAGATATCGTGCAGTGTTTCGCCGAACCTCTGGAGAGATTGATAACTGCTGTCAAAAAACAGGCGAATCAAGATAACAAATCCGTTCCTGATTATTTGATAATGGGTGGAGGCATGTGCCTCAACACGTATATCTCCGAAGCACTGCGGAAGGAGTTTCAGCACCTAAAAGTGTGTCAACTACGTCATAATAAAGCACATATCGTAAAAGGTGCCGTCTGGCTAAGGTCCCAGCAAGATTTCATTACCCGCCGCCCTTTGAAGTATACGGTTGGTATAGTCACCTACCAGGAAGTTAATTCTTCAGTCAAGCGCTTCAGCGGCAAAGGATATAGAAACGAAGACACGTGGAGAAATCAGAGAGACGGCAAACGCTATGTATCTGTGGTTTACTTCTTGGCCAAGAAAGGTCAGCTGGTCGACTCCAATTACAAAGTCACATCCGAGGGATTCAAGGATGCCCGTGTACGTTATTCCACGTCCGCTTCACTTCAAGATCTGAATTTTGAAGACGTGGTTTACACCATGAATTATACGCCTGACAAAGGAGAGAGCTTTGTATTCTTACGTCAGGATGGGCGATTGGTCAACACACATGGGGCATTGATTCGCAAACCTGAAAAATCGGACAGAATTCGGTGGAACCCAATGGATAGTGGTATCGACCTGATGGAGTTGAAACAAAAGAGGTTTCGCGAATCGACGCCATCTTATATGATAAGGTATGCAATACACACTGAAATGACAGACGTGGGTTGCAAGTATTGCGTCATGATATTTTCCACGAATGGGCAGCAGCACGGCTTCTGCGGTGATCTCCAGGTAGAATCAATCACAGATATCCAACAGATTTCAGAGAACTTGTCCCAGAGCTTCGCTTTCGGACAGCGACAAGTTGCGCCAGCACGGGCAAGTAAACCAGCTTCCACAGCTGCTTCCGAGAGGCCTACAAAGAAGGTGACGCGTTCGAGTGTTCGAACTTCCAATCTTCAACAGATCTCCAAAGCGGCCAATGCTTTGATTGGCTGGAAAAACGAACCATCTACATGGCCAGCAACAGAGGAAGTCTCAAAGGCGGCTCGAGTTGAGAGGGATTTTAATGATGACTCTCCTGTCAGAAGCCATGCATTATCCGACAATCTCTTAGTAACACCCTGTCGCTCCACGAAGCGGAAATGTTCCTGATGACCATCAATACCCCTGAATCTACTGACTGTATTTGAGCTCCTTCGATTCAAGTTGCAACATTTCCAAACCCACTTGCTCAAATTGTAATATTTCGTATTGAAGGTTGGCACTTTGTTTGGCATATGCTAGAGAGATACTCCAGAAGCATTGAGAGGCGCAAAGAATTTAAAATTGGGTGTAGTAGAGAGTAGACATTGAATAGACGCATCAATTCCAGCACATTGCAATCATCATTTCTGATGCATTTTCACGGTGATATATTTTCGTGAAAGTACAGCCCGATGTCGTAACTATGTGCGAGATATATAAGATTGACATCTCGAGTATCATGGAGATCCTTTAATCTGAATGCTGATCTCTTAATGTCATAAAGGGCTTAGTTTGAGGTTCGATTATTCGAACTGAATTGTGGTCGAGCATATTGAATGCGATGGACATCTCTCGAGCTCTGTAGCACCAACTTCATAGTCAGTATGGAAAAATCCTTTCTCTGGAAGCATAGAGGACGTAAAAAGTAAATACTCAGACACTTACCTCAATTTGTACATATCTTTGATGGGGAAATCTGCGGAAATTCATCATTTCTAAACTCTGTCGCGTCTGTTGCAATTCTCAATCTCAACCTTGGTGGATTGATTTGAGATTCTGCCGTTAGTCGCCATTTCTGGTCACCGCCTAATTATTCATCCACTAGAGCTAATGTCAATCAATGTTATTTTTGATACCTACTTACCTCGAGCCTACCTAGTAATGTTTGATTCCAAAGACGTCTAACCACAGACAGCGCAAGAATTAATCCTACCTCCAGTTTCATTCACTACACGATGAACCGAATCAATGCCTACACATAAGTACCTACCCGCTACCTATGTATTCATAGCAAGTTTATAAGCAACCTCTTCCAAGCCATGAGCTCCCGAAGTTTCATCGAGCGGGGTAAAGGGAGTTCATGTTGTACAGTGAGTGACTATTAGTGAATATGAGTCGAAAATATGGTGGAAGTAAGACCAATTCGTCATTGCCATACGTGAAAGAAAAAGTTGTTCATAAAAGCGTGCAAGTTTGTTCGTAAATACATCACTATCCATCAAGCACTCCTCATATTGAAATCTTCCATCATCGACGTCTCTGCACCTCTTATACAATCTTTCTAACCAGGTTAATTGAGTCTTCATACTTTCAAAGCTACTCATACGAAGACTTATCATAATGGAGAGCCCTCAAACCATCTCAGCAAGTGCCACTTCTTACTTGACCCTTGCCAATGGATTTTGGTTGATTATTGGCTGGGTTTTAGCAAGTTTTCTGTATCAGATCGTCTACTATCGTTTCTTTCATCCCCTTAAGAACTATCCAGGTCCATTTTGGGGTACCGTTACCAGACTTTGGTATACTTCTCAGAGCTACCATCAAAGAGAGTTGGTCGTCTATGAGGATATCTTCAAAGAAACGAAAGGTGCTTATATTATGATGTCATTAACCTTTGAAGATTATGGTCACTAATAAATATGGCATGTATAGCTCCTGTAATACGTATTTCACCTACAACTCTTCTAGTCAAATCAGCCCTCGCTCTACCCATCATCTATCACCGCAATGCAGTCAAGTCCAGGTTCTACAGCAACGGAGGGTTTCCTGCTGAACCTGTCATAAGTATTCGCGACCATCAAGCACATTCTTATCGTCGAAGACTCATAGGACCTCCTTACTCATACTCAAAGATAATCAAGGCCGAGCCCCTCGTTGACAAGATAGTCTCGGCATGGCTTACGAAGCTGAATGAACTTTTTGTCGAGACGCGAAAACCTGTGAATATGGCAAGTTGGGCTACTTATTTTGCATTTGACACAATCAGTGAAGTGGGTTTTGGACAAGCTTTAGGCTTTGTGGAGAAAGGAGAAGATGTGGGCGGATTGATTCAAAGTGTACATGATGGTATTGAGCTCTTTGGTGTCTTGGCGCATTTGTACCCTTTCGTAGAATGGGTAACATCAGGGCCATTAGGTCGGTTCTTTACCGCAACACCAGATATGAAGAATGGCATGGGTCAGCTGATGAGATGGAGAGATAAAATCATCAATGCCAGAATTACAGAAATTGAGGAAGGAAAAAGAAGAGATCGCGTGGATATTCTACAATCGTAAGTCTTCTTAGCGCTTCAAAACTCGGCATCCAGCTAATCTTTAACCATCTAAAGATTTCTCGAGGCCAAAACACCCGAAGGAAACCCTATGAGCCGAGATGAATTGGAGGCCGAAGTTTTGGTTGTCCTAATTGCCGGAGCAGATACTACAGGTACTACCTTCAGCTCCATTGTAACAGATATTATCTCATCACCTGGCGATTATCAACGAATGGTGGCTGAGATAGATGCCGGATTTGCAGCCGGAAATCTTTCACAGCCGGTTCCAACAGCCGCAGAAGTTTCAAAGCACTGTCCGTTTTATGTTGCATGCATTAAAGAGGCTCTTCGACTTACTCCATCGTCACCAGTACTTTTTCCTAGAGAAGTAATGGCCCACCAACCCCCTTTGATAATCGATGGCAAGGTAATTCCAATCGGTACTGAAATCAGCTGTTGCGCATACTTTGCAAACCGAGACAAGGAAATATATGGCGAGGATGCCGAGACTTTTCGCCCCGAGCGATGGCTTGAAGATGATGAAAAGGCCAAGCTTTATGAGAAGTACAATTTCACTTGGGGATATGGATCAAGAGTATGCTTAGGCAAGGATCTTGCGTATATGGAGTTGATGAAAGGTCCTTTAATGGTATGTCTCTTTCCTGCTACTAAGTAATTGATAGCTTAACATCCGCTGACACTACACACTCTCTAGTTCTTTCGTAATTTCGACTTCAAGTTATGTACACCGAGTAAGGAAATACCTGGTCCACCCAAACGTGTTACAGTTGGCGGTCTATTTCATTGGCAGAATATTTGGCTCGATCTACAAAAGCGCAAGGTTTGAAATGTATCAGAGTAGTGTTACGAGGGGTCATCAGTGATCATGTGGGTTTTCAGACATCTTTTATTTATTTAATTGTGGTCATCTCTAGGTTCAAAATCATGCTTTAACGGAAAATGAAGGGGGGCCGGTTAATCTACTCGATACCATGATTTTCTCGATCATTAGCTCAGAATGAATTCCTTCAATGTGTTGCTGTATGTTGAACTCTGGTCTCCGTCCTAAAATTGAATTTGAAGTCACTGAGAACTTTGACTTTGCACCCCAAAGCAAGACAGATCCGAGATTTATCATGCTGCTAGATAAATGCACGTCATATCTCCAAGTTTCCAGTGTAAGTTCTACCCAATTACTGCTTCACAGTCTCGAGGCTCAATCTCTCGACTATCCATTCTCTTTATTACGCCATCTCAAATACCCCGCTTCAATTCAATGCCACAACCATATTGATCGTATAGTCTTACACATTCTAGATCAAAACATGAGAAGTCTGAAGATAAGTTATGCCAATAGATGCATTTGTTGACCCATTCGACCCAGACACGGAGCCGTGCATATCTTACATAGAATATCTTCCAGCCTAAACTTCTTGGCAAGCAATTACCGCATTCCTAATAGTTTAGCATCTCTCAACGTTGTGTAGCGCAAGTCTATTTCAAAGTAAACGCCTAGCAAACGAATATCTATACGACTTCCTAAGACAACACAGAGAATATACCATGCATATTCTCATTCCCTGTCTCGTCTAACCTCGCATTCGAAAAATCTCTGCTTCCCGTATAAATCATAGCTTGTGGCTATTCAACAGTCATGTATCTAAAATGGCAATTGCAGCCTTCGGAAGTGACAGCTATTCCTACAAGAACCTCCTGAAGGGCAACTCTTCAACATCATGGAAGCGGAAATCCATGGATACAAGCGCTTCAGATTAGTCAGTTGGTTCTAGACTGAAGTCTGTGCAGCCATCCGTTTGCTTTTCTATCATTTATTAGTTTCGTCTGATACTTAATTGTTTTTAGGTCACTTGATCGCAGTACATCCACTTAGAACGGACGGAGATATACGTTTACAATGCGGCTTTCCAAGTTCCTCTCACAAATTTTGCAATCATATTTTCGAATGATTCATACGGCCCATATGGTCCAGACCCCATTCCATCAACTGTAGGAAATTTTTAAATGTTGCACAAACTGCGAGCTACAAAAGCTTTAGATCCACCTACCTACCAATCTCATGCCACATATTCATAATTCCGGATACCCAAACTGCCAGATTCACGGAAAGACCCGTGCATGCGGATCTAGAAACCGGAACGTTCTATGTCCTGAAACCGGTCGGGAGATTGTAGAGTTCAAGTAACAACACAGCCACAGCCACAAGCTCGAAATCATCTGTGTTGCCCATGCTAGGGGAACATATTGTGTTGTGCACATAATTTCTCAAGCCTTCCATCTTGGTTGCAATCTCTGTGGTATGCAGCTCTGCAGGCAATCGACTGCGCTCAAGATGCGCCCCATCTCTACAAGAAAGGGTTTTTAAACGTGTGCCAAGGAATGTTTTAGTTGTATCAAGAGCAGATATTGAGTTCTGATGGTCTTTTCAACGTTGCTGTGATTTTTAGGCCCCAACAACCAACCGATTCTCACCCTCTCTCTCCTGTCTCAAATCTGAAGCTATAACATTCCGAAGAGGGCCTTGTTTAACACAGCATCGCAAACCAGTTTACTGCGCCAACCATTTTCTAGCCTCCAAGCCCCCTCTTAAATGTCTCTCAAACGCCTTCCAAATACTCCCCAGTAGGTAGTCATCATCACTCCAAATACCTCACCGCACATAAATCCAAGACCGGCTTCTCGCATCCTGTCTAAAGCTACAGTATCTTCCCGACAGCACCTCCTATGATTCACTTACACATCAAGAACTGCAACATCCCAGCCCAACTATTGAATCGCACGCGCGTAGCCATAGCACAGCCGTGCTCGTTTCCCAACGCCTCACCTGAATTTCCCATTTTCCCATTTTCCCATTTTCCAAAACACTAATCAGTCCATGTCGGCTTCTGGGCACCCGCATCCCGCATCCCGCATCCCGCATCCCGCATCCCGCATCCCGCATCCCGCATCCCGCATCCCGCATCCCGCATCCCAAACATACCCGTCAAATCAAATTTCCCGCACAGCAATGCAATACACACATCAGCAACATACCAACAAACACACAACATCCTCCAAACCTCAACAGCGCCTCTTGAATCTCAAATCAAACCCAGCTTGCACGAAACTACACACCAACTACCGGTTTCCCACCACCATACTGCACCGCACTACAGAAACTAACTCTCTCCTTTCAAACAAAACTTGCTTGTCAAATTCGGTATGTCTCATATGCATGTATGGATGACTAGAACCGCCTACATACTTAGCTCGCTTGGCAGATATTACACCGCCTATCTGTTGTTACACCAAAGCCTTTGGTTCACACGCGCTTTTACGCCACGCCGTCTTACATACAAAATTTTGAGAAGTGTTGCGAGTGAGTAATGAAAGTATGTCGGTCATGCATTCTGATTCTGGGTACCTAGTGGGAAACGTGATTGAAAAATGGATCATGTGGTTTGTATATCACGTGGTGTGGTAGGTCAAGAGCTTCAATGAAGGGGAGGCAGAAGAGAAAGATGGGGTTAAACTTAAACTCATAAGATTGATGGATTAAATATCATACAGAATAGCTATCTAAAAGCTCCAAATAGAGGATATACATAAATAAACATACATAAATCTACAATATACTCCCAAACTCCTCTTCAAGCCAAACTCCCCTTTCCAATATCTTGTACCATCCTAGTGAACCAGCCCCCTTTCCAAGTCAAAATCCTCGCTTACTCCTTATCCCCATTCCAATTTCCTAGGTCCCCATCCTCCCGATTCCCTCTTCCAACCAGTCTACATCAATCTTCGTAACCGCTCCCTCATACTTTCCCTCTTCCCTCACCTTATCCACCAAGCCGCTCGTTCTCTTCAATCTCTCCCTCCATCCTTCTACCCACACATACGCTAATTTATATTCTCCTTTCGCCACCTTCCTCTCTCCCATCCTCCTCTGTTCTTTCTCAACCTCATCTTTCCCCCTCTCCTCCACTTTCCTTGTCATTCTACCAGCTCTCCATCTCATTTTTCTAGTCCTTCTATACCCCTTTTGTTTCCTTAAAGATACAGGGTGAACAAGTCAATTTCCATCCTTCAAAAGAGGCTCCCTCTCCGCACCCCTCATGCCCCCTACTCCTGAACCTCCCATCCATCCCGCACTCCCCTTATCCCCACCATTTGTAAAATAGGGATCATCTTCATCTCCATATAGTTTCCCCCTATCAAAACTTCCACTACTTCTATGCCCCGGTAATCCAAAGGCCGGACTAGGCAATCTTCCATCGCCATCTAAACTCTTTGGCAGGAAGTCTGCATCTGTATCTGGATCATAGTCATCTTTTGCATTGACGTTGGCATTCACATTAGCATTCGCGTTTGCATCCGCTTTCACATTCGCGTTTTCCCCAAAACTCAAACTCGATCGCTTTGACAAACTCTCACTCCTGCTTCTCAGGCTCGAGACCGAAAGACTATGTGGTCTGGTTTGAACCGGTGTATTCGAACGATTCGGTGAACCAACATTGAAAATGCTCATTCCGGAAAGCGGTCTCGGTTTAGGAGGTGGACTTGAATCATTTGCTCCTGCTTCGAATAGAGAGCGTGTTCTAGCGAAGATGGAACTAACAGGTCTTGGATTACGTTGTGGGGATGCGGTTTCTTTTTCTTGAGCTGTGGCTGCAGTTTTGGCGGGATCTTCTGACTGTGTCCAAGGAACGGAATGGAGATTTGGTGGCAGTTGAGAAGTCGATTTTTCTTCGGTCTGAGTTGGAGTCTGAGCCGTGAATATTGGGGTTGATGCAGGTGCATTAGAGCTCAAGATCTTCTCGGGAGGGATAAGTGATGGTGGAGTCGGTGCTAGGACTGGAGGATATTCTTGATCTATATGCACGTTGCTTATGTGAAATGAAGATGAATGTGAAGGACTTGGAATTGGAGATTTGTATTCTTGTGGGTTGAAAGGATCAAATTCGGCGGCATCTTGTAGATTAGGAGATTTGATAATTTCATCAAGGTTTTGTTCTTGATTTGCTGAATCATCCTGGGTATCATCATTTTGATGTGACCATCCTTCAGAAGATTCGAATTCCGTTGACATCATCTGACTAATGTGTGGTTGTTGAGGTGGAGTTGGAGGACCTGATTCACCATCATCTGATGCATAATGTTCAAATGATGGAACTGTATCAACTGTATGAGAACGGTTACGACCATTATCGTTGTTCAATTGAGTTCTGTAATCTTGTTGCTGATCACCGTCTTGAGAATATCCCCAACCATTATAAGCGTTGTTGATAGAGGCATCCAAGTAATTTCGGTGTTCATCTGGTGGAAATCTTTCAGATCTTGACCTAGGACTCAATACAGGTGACTGATGTGGTTCCGGTGAAGGTGTTAGACTGCTTCTGATTTGGGAGACTCTCGAGAATACTGCCTCATGTTCTGGACTCAAGTCACTATTTCGGTGATACAACGATGCTGGACGTCGAGGTTTAGGTTTTGGAGTGAGGTTGTTATTTTCGACAAGATCTTCGTCTTCCACAGGCTCGGACTTTCCACGATTTTCCTCAATGTCAGGACTTGGCTCCAACACTCGTGGTAGATCCGTAGCATTAGAAGCAGTTGCGTTTTCAATTAGTGCTTCTGGACTGCCATCGATCAAAATATCTGTGCCGCTGACTTCGTGAGGTGACTCTGTTTCTTTGACATCGGAGCCAAACATCAATGCCATTGGTGTCTGTGGTCTTTTGCTTGGCCCAGAATTTGAAACCTCAAGATTGGATCCGCTTGGATGGTCAAGCTCGTCTTGAAGGATCTCTGTGGAGATTTCTTTGATAGCTGGATTTTCTGACTCTGATACTAACGGGTTGTTGTCTCTTTGTTCTTTCAATCCATCCTCATCAACAGAGTCCTCATATTGCCAATGTGGATGGAAGAATCTACTCTTGGGCATGTATTCTTCATCTTCATCCTCGTGATCTTCGCCGACACGGGAGGCACCGTCATGTGATTCTTCCCGGATAGTCTCAAGATAAGGAAGCGGACCCCCCTCTTCTTCTTCTGAGGATTGATCCCATTCATTTTCGCTTTCAGAATAATTCTCTGTTTCCTCACCTTGCTCGGTCCTTTCACCTTCTGAGCCCGAATCTTGTGGATTGCGATCTTCATGCTCATACTGTAAAGCTTCAACTTTCTCATTTGGCTCGTCTGTGGTTGACTCGGCACTTTGTTCCTCGCTCAGTACTGCGTCTGCTTGTTCGAAAGGGTTTAAATGTTCATCTTGCTGAATGAGTGCGGTATGGAAATCTTCTTCTTCCGTATGTTCTTCATTTTGAGGGGTTTCGGTCAGGGTACTCGACGACTCTTCCGCTTCGAGTGTTTGAGGTTTGTTTTCATTGACAACCTGGCTCTCTTCCTTTTCACCCTCAATTTCAGCAGATTTATCCCCACTCTCTTGTTGTTGACTAAGCAATTTCATTTGCTCATTTAACAAGGCAATTTCTTCTCTCGCCGCCATATCTTCGACACTCTCTCTTCTTGGTCTCTCTTGCTCCGCTTCAACAAGTTCACTTTTGTCCATACCATTGCTATTCTTCTCAGTGCTCATGTCAACAGATTTAATCTCTTGTTCAGCAGCTTGTTCCTCCTCGACAGCTTTCATAAACTCTGCGTTCAAACGAGCAATCTCCTCTCTAGCACGAACATCTTCAGGATCTTCGTGTTGTGTTTCTTGAGGTAGAGGAAGAATGTCTGGATTAACTACTCTCAATTCCGGCCTAGTTTTGATTTGTTCTGATTCGAAAGCAGAAAGCTGTTCATTCTCTTGAGTTAATGGTTCGTCGTGGACGGGTTCAGAATTTGTTGAGTCATTTGGACTTATGTGTGACTCATCTTCTGTCTCAAGATTGATAGGCTGGTCAGTTTCTCTGGACCCTTCAATGTGATGGTCTTGTGTCTCGTCGAACCCTCTTTCTTCATGAATAGCTTCGGCACTTTCGTCATTGACTCTGCTCTTCTCATTATCGTTGTGTCTCTCGGCATTTATCTGTTCTACCTCAGACGGCACTTCAGATGCTTCGCTATTCAAGCTCTCCAGGGTAGATATCTCTGGTACCGTGGTAATGGTCTCAGGCGCGGAATTTGTATCTTGTTGGCTTTCAGGTTCTACTATGCTCTCTTTCAATGGTGTTTCATCAGCAGGATACACTGGTTCCTCAATAGAAGTGGTGGGAAGTTCCCTGTCTTCAAGATGCTCTTGAGCCTCCACAATATCATCATTTGTCTGCTCTGGGTCTTCTTCAACCTGTTGATGTATTGGCGCCTCATTTTCCGAAGTCAATCGCTCAGTCTCAATCACTTTTTCCGACCTTTGAATATCCTCAGATGGTATTTGACTTGATGTAATTGGTTCCACACTTTCGATCATGTGAGAGGGAGACGGTTTACTATTCTCAGGATTTTCTTCGTGGCTCATTTCATTTGAATCCACATGATTCTCTTGTTGAGCCACGTCACCTAATTGGGAACTTTCATCATCATCACCAGCAGTCTGTCGAATTGTGGGCGAAGGAAGTGGTGACCCAACATCAAGATTCAAGGCTGCTTCTCCAGTGCCTTCGAACTCTTCAGGGCCAGGTGTGGGTGTTTCTTCAAGTATTGGTACTTGCACAGTACTGTTAGCCTCTGCCAGCGGTTCTTCGCTCTCTTGACCGAGCTTTAGACCTTCTTCCTCGGTGTCAGGAACCGACATCTCGGAGACCGTCCCCTGTTCTTCGGTGGCGGGCTCACTCTCTGGTGCATTGCTATTCTCTTGCGGGACAGCAGCCGACTCATCAATTCGGTACTTGATGTGGCCTGGCAATTGAACAGTATCATCAATGATCTGCGAGATCTCATTTGAATTGCTATCAGGAGCTTCTTCATCCGGTCTCTCGTCTGTTTTTACGTCGCCTTCGATTGGTACGTCCAGATCACGTGCACCAGCATCAGGAGACTCAACTGCCTCTTGGATTTGTTCTGGGACGGTAATAACCGGCTCGGCAACTATCTCGGTCTCTTCGATGGTATCTTCTGAAGCGATATCACGACTTTCAGTTAACTCCATTTCGTGATTTGTATTGGAGTCGGTTGCAGGGATTGAAATAGAACCAATTTCAGGATCCTCGACATGATGCTCTTCTTGCGGCGGATCAGTAGCTTCGTCGACAACATCATTGTCCTTACTAGCAGGTTCAAAATCTGTAGGTAATACATGAGTTTTCAGAATCCTCATGGCCTTCGATGTCTGCCGACTCCACATCCGGAGTTGGCTGTGGGAATGTTTCATTGGGGATGCTTCTCGCCTCTCCCACTTCTGGTGAGACAGCTGGCAAAGCTTCCTTTTTTTCGGGAGCGTTTACGCTCTCCAAAGTTTCGGCATCTTCAGGGTTGAAATCAGTGCTTGCAGTATCTTCAAGGTCCTTTTCAGACTCTTTGATTTGCTCGGTGTGATCTTGGTCTGGAGTAACGTTCTCATCTTTAGATTCGTTCTCGTGTTCCGACGCCTTGGCATCTGTGGACTCTTCGCCAGCAATATCTTGCTCGGCCATAGTAGGCTGTGTGTCTTCAATCGAATTACGTAAAATTTCGGAAATAGCATCTGCAGTATTTGTTGGTTCGATAGCTTCCTCTTGGTCTTTGTCAACTTCTGGTAGATCGTTTGACAAGAGCTCAGACTCTAGTTCTGGTTCCTCATTAAGCTCATCGCTCTCTGATTCTACTGGCTCTGGCAGTGGCGTTAGAATTGCCTTGGCTTCAGATTCCTCAGGTGCAATCTTTTCACTTTTATTGGCAGATTCCGAGTCATCATGAGTGATCTCTGGTGCCTCATCTAGTTGATCAACCTCTGTATCGGCTGGCTCCGGGAGTGGGGTCTCAATTGCTTCTTCCACGGATTCCTTTAGAAAATCTGAATCATCATTGTGGACCGGCTCCGGTTCATCCTGGATTTCCTCCCCGTCAATTGATGCTTGATTCGTATCTCCTTGTTTATTTGGGATTACAGGCTCCTTGGACATCAAATCATCTCCATTATCTATCTCTGAGTTACCCTGATCATTGGAAGCAGTGGCAAACTCTTCATCATGCATGGGAGTTAAGATTGCCTTGTTATTCAAGCTCAGGGGCATCTCATCAATTGTGCTGTGTTGGGGTTCATTCGGAGATTCATCGACAGCCAATGTCTCATGTCGTGGTGCTTCATAATCCTCAAGTGGAAGATTGTCATTTGATGCTTTCTCTAGTGAAAGCTCCTCAGCTGAAAGTTGCTCTGCAGTTTCAATCTGGGCTGGATCATGTGTTGTATCGTCCGTTTGTACTTCTGGTTCGAGAGACTCTTTTTCGTGGTCGGATTCATTACTTTCAGAGACAACTTGATTTTTTGGGACGTTCTCAACTTCTACTGTCTCGAGAGTTGTTATTGATTCAGAGTCATCATTTTCATTCTGAATGTCGGAGGGCTCGGCGACTAGTGTGCTGTCGTCTTGAGATGACGTATGTTCTTCCGCGAGGTCTTTGTCCTCTGAATCGTTTTCATTGGTAATATTTTCAACCTCAACAATTTCTTGAACATGTGGCGCTTGCGATTCTGTAATTTGCGCATTCGGAGGAACATCCTTGGCTTCCAGATGAGGAACCATTGCTTCATTTGCTTCCTCCTCCATAGCACGTCGAATTTCCTCATTCAGCTTAGCTATTTCTTCTCTGGCTGCTCTGTCTTCGGGAGATTCATGTGGGTCAAGCACTGGAACAGTCTCGGCTTCTTTTGGTGCCTCCATCAGACTGTTGTCTTGCTTTGAATCGTCGTTTTCATCTTCGTGAGGAGTTTCGGTTGATTGGCTATCTTCGATAAGATCCTTGATCATTTCCGGTTCTTGAGATACATGATCTTGCTTTAGATTGTCACTGGTCTCATTTTGTGGAGCATCAATTGACTGAGTCAAGTCAATTGATTCCTTTAGGGTATCATCAGCCCCAACAGATGTATCCTCTTGGGAAGGCTCAGGCGCGTCATCAATCTCCTTGGTCATTTCTTCTACAGGCTCTAATGCTTCTGGTTCAGAATGATCTTGACTACCTTGCGCAATGTTATCAAATTCGGGTTGCTGGTCAGCTTGATGTACCTCTTCAAGCTCGATGTGCTGCTCCTCGGGGACTAAGCTAGAGGTTTCTTCGATAGGCTGTGATAATTCTTCAATATTCTCAAGATTCGGTGATCGTGTCTCTTGCTCTTTGGGAACACCCTCCTCTGGAAGTGAGGAATCTGGTTGAACTTCTAAGTCCTTTTTTGGCTCTACCACAACGTCTTTTTCACTGTCCTTAGTATCAGCTACGTTATCCTGAGGATCTTCATCTTTGTGCTCGTTCACATCATGACTTAAATCTTCGCTTGTAACCAGATTTTTTTCTGCATCCTCCTCCGTGCCCTTGTTGTTCTGATTGTCCGATTTTAAATCTGGCTCTTGGTTATTCAGTACAACCTTTCTGCGGCTCTTGTATTGAATTTTCGGTAATACAGTCGGAATGTTGAGCTGCTCGTCAATTTGTCTGTTGATTTCCTGTTTTCGCAAAAATGTTAGTAAATCGAAAAACGCCCAGATAAAATTGACAGAATACAAACATACCCTTCTCGCAGAATCTAAAGTTTCCAGAGCTTTTTGTCCATCTATCATTTGTTGCTCTAACTCATCCTCCAACCTTTCTATTTCTTCATCGATCCCATCCTCAACTTCTTTATGTTGACTTTGGAATTCAGCCTTCCTCTTCTCTACCTCCTCTTGCCTTACCTTTTCTCTCTCCTTCACTTCAGTCTCGATTCTCAATTTTCTCTCCTCGTCTTCACGTTTCCTCCTCTCTATTATCTCGTCTTCCTCTCTCTTGATTTGTTCCTCGATCTCTTGTTCCTGTTTGAGTCGTGCTTCCTCTCGTTCTTTCATTGCAACTTCATGAGCCATCTTCAATTGCTGAAGCTGTTCATCGCGATCTCTTTCTAACCGTGTAATTTCCGCATCATGATTCGAAGTATCGCTAATTAAAGCGATAGTCTTGTGGATTTCATCAATATTGGAATGCAATTTCGTGACTAACTCTGCCACCGAAACCATTTTCCTTTCTAATTGAGTGATCGACCTCAAGCTTGCAGTATAGTATGAGTAGATATGTATAGATGAACTTCTCAGCTGAGACAATGTCCAATGGAGGAAACGGAAAGTTCAAGAAGTTCGGATGAAATATATGGATATAGAAACGAATGTATGATACCACCAGCAGTCCAATCACAAAGAATTAATTCCGATGATTCAATGCGATCCCGTCGCTGTTGGAGTTTGTAAAAACAAAAACAGGAAACGAATTCAAAAGGACAACTCAGAAATGACGCTTTTCGTTTCTTACGAAAAGGTTCTTAGAGTAAGATTGAAAGGATTATGCTAGTTTCACTAAAAACCATCACAATGGATACTTGCCTTCATCGAATAGGGTTGCTAATATAAACATAAGCATAAGATGCATTGTTTCATACTTCATGCTTTGATCGCTCAGACAATATATTTTCACCTAGGGTAGCCCCTAGTGCTCGAGAGTTGTTCAATATCGGCGCAGCGATGGAGGTTCGAGATTTTGAGAGGTTCCCTGGCTAGACATTTTGCCACTCTTTCGATATATCATCGACCGCAAAGGCCGATGGCAATCGAATAGCTCTAAGCAAGCGAGGCAAGGTAGAATATGGCATTGAAGATATCGTGGATTGCCGTCGTGCTTCCACATCCTTCTTCGAAAGCCAGGGGTTGCATTCACGCTATCAACGTCCGAGCGTGATGGTCACCTGACTGTCAACTCGACCGCGCACGTGCTCGACCCTTATTATCGCCTGAGCGAGTGCATGGCACAATTCCTTCTTTTCCTCTTCAAGACAGTTCAATCTGCATTTCGTTTATCTCTCTTCAAACCGCACGAACTGATCCCGTCTTTAAACCCTTTCCAGTATCGCTAATAATATCTCAAGCCGCCAAACCCCACCAGCGACTCGCTCAGGTCCCCTCAAACTCAATCTTAAACACAGGAGTCATCATCCTGGCCAAACTCGCTCGAGTTGCACAGATCTCTTACACGTCGCGCATCTGAAACTTCGAGCTCCAGATTCTGCTTTTTTATAACCAATCCCATCCTCCAAACATCTGTACGTAAGGCACCTATCTCGGTACTTAAATTTCAGGATCGACGTCCGAAAAAAAAGTAGAGAAAAAAGTAAGGTTCAGGACAATGCGTGGTGGTGTGAACTTCTAATATGCAAGTACCGAATCTCGCGTATATTTTCAGCGGGAGGATTGCTGGAGGAATGTGGTTCATGAGTTCATGAGCTCGAGTAAGAAGTAAATTGTAAGGCTGTTCGCCAAGGTTGTGGTTGTTATCACGACGTCTTTGATTTTTGAGGTTTGCTGTAAATTCTCAATTGTGAAGCTTGATTGTCTATTGAACTATATATATGAAAATCAAATAAACTAGATTTTGCATTATTTTGATTCGTATTATACATCCTAAACTGAGGTAATGATCGTGTCTCGTGATTGTAATGTTGGTAGTCTTCATTTCAACCACAAACAGAAAAAAAGAAAGAAGTAGGTAATAATGATAATGTAGCTTGTGAATTTGTAGCCCCCGCGGAGGAGGGCCTTCAATATTCAGGCTCCAGAAAAAATCTTTGCTTCGTCAACTCAAGCTCCGGGCTGGTTACCCTGGGCATGTCATACTCATTCCCATCCCTCAATATGCCTTCCTTCCATTCCAACGCCACCTTTCTCGATTACTCGCGCAAAAATTCTATAAATGGTATAGTTCCTCCTCTCAGAAAAATAAATCTTGTACACTTCCCGTACACTTCCCATAAACCTTTTGATGATCCCAAGCCTATTTAAATTCGTGACATGTTTTCCTTTGAAGCTCTAGCGGTTCTTGATCTGAATTGGTCTCTGAATTGCATTCTACCGATGGTACCGTAGGAAATAGTACTAATGAATAGAATTGCCCATACACCTGTGATGACGCCACCAATTGGGAAGATCAGAATATTAAGACCTGGAACCACGAAAGGAGATTCAGAGGCGACGACGAGAGTTTGAATAGGTGGTTGAGCGACAGTTTTAGTAACTCCAGCTGCTTGTGTGGAGAATTGACCATTGACGAAAGATGCTTGGTTGGTATTAAGAGTTGTATTCACGGTTCCACCGGAGACATCTCTGCCAGTCAAAGTCACCGTTGGAGTTAATAGTGCTTCCATGGTTGAGCTAAAACAAATCAGATTGGAATTCTATTGATCCTTGGAATTCAACATACCTGTCCATATCCATGCCAATATATTCCTTATTCATTTGGCCAACGAAAGCATATGATTGAACTAAAGTTATGGTCCTTCCTGTGGTGGTGTTTGTTGTTGATTGTCGCTTTAAGTTTACTCGTGGCCATGAAATTATAGATGTACCATCGCTTCTGGCCATCAACGTCGACATATTAACAGCCGATACTGTAGCTCCTTCGTAACTCAATCCAACCTGAACATCCTGACTTGGAATATTGGCAAACGTTCCTGTGGGAGCAGAGACATTGTAAATTCGGAGGTCAGCCTTGAAAACTCCAGTACTGTTGTCGGCATATGGCAAGTTATAACAAACTGCCAAGCCAGATGGATTGGTAGCCTGTCCATTCAATAAATCAAGAGCTTGAGTGCATGCTGCCTCAGTTTGAGTGTTCCAGTCCGAAGCGTTCGTAGCTGCTGTGGTTGCTGGTGCATCCGTGATAGATCTCCGGCGATCTTCAATAATATTATCCATATATCGCCTTAACATCTCCTCCTGATTATCTCGGCGAACCACTGGCTTCATATCCATAATTCCTGCGCTAACATGACCAGCAAGTAGCAGCGATGCCGTTACGGCTGCGTGCCAAAACATAATGGGCGGTATTGATTAAAAAAGTTGAGACCGGCGAGTAAGAAAGATCCAAGATATGGTTTAAAGATTAGTAAATTTAAATCTAAATGACCCGACCGGCGGTGAGAAAGATTGCAAACAATGTCCTGCCTCAAGCAAGAGGTAGAAAACAACTTCAAAAAGAAAAGAAGGTATGAAGAGGAGATGGGCCTGCCCAGGAATTGAAATGGGAGAAGTGGCGATGATATTGTTTAGTTTGCCAACCCAAGAAGAATATTATGAATGTAAAAAGAAGAAAGGAACAAGAAGGATAGGAATGGTCTAAAGGTGCCATGCCACATGAAAATGCTAGACAGGCTTAGCATGGAAAAATACGAATCCCGTAACAAAAGGTCGTAGACATTCGGAAGCAAAAACAACGATATGGAGCTCATACCAGGAGGTGATCTCAACTCATCGATGCAAAATGGGCATGAGCATGTAAGTAACTCCAGACAAATTGTGTCGGACTTGACGGTTCTTGGTTTGGGAGATTAACTTTAGCCCTGTCTGCTGAGAGATAGTTCCATAATCGAAACTACTAGCTTTTCTACTTATAGAGGGGTGTAGCATGTGCGAGACGTCTGAGGGTCAGTCCTATGGCGATGTTGAGACAGTGAGACCATCGTATGATGCGCGGTCAAGCTTTTCACAGATAATGTTGATTGGAAGACTCTTAATTTGTGAGTGTAATCGACACAAGGAGGTCACGACTTGTCAGATGAGTGGCGGCACAGATGACGCTTGTCAATACATGCATACCATTAATAGAGCGCTTAGAGTCCAGAGTATTGATCTGGGGGTAGGAAAATATGATCCACGACACCAAAAAGGATGTTCTACCAAGGTAGGATTCGGCATCGTAGGACCATCATAGGTACAATCATCGATCAATCAAACCTCTCCATGCCCTTTGGATTGAAGAAGGCTCCAGCGTTTTCAAAATGAGTTGTTGAGACTGAATCTTGTCTGGGAAAATGAGGTGTGAAGCTTCCGAGTCTCATCATCAATCAATACCTTGTCAGACTTGTCATAAAACAAGATCAACTAAACTTGATCGGTTAAAAGCTGACAGAGCTTTCATGGGACTAGCCAAATTAAGTAATAAATATTTGCTACTTCCGGATTTTCAACTTTGGCCGAAGTATCACAGACCCTTTCATGACTTTTCACGGTATCAATGATAATCTTACGTTGACAACCAACGAAACGCGAATAACCTCATATATTCTTCCCCATCTCCGTTGAACTTCAATCCTAATCAACCAGTGAAGTGGTAGGATTTTATGATCCCAATTTCTTCAATGATCATCGGATATACTCATAATTTTACACGGCGGTAGGATACGACCCAAATTCTTCAACACGATCTCGATGGATGTCAAGTCTTCCCGCCTTGCACGCACATATGTGGGTGTATTCACACCAGTTCCTAAAGACTGGCTGAGGATTCTTCAATTGAAATTCGTTGAAGATATTTCTTGCGGCAGCAAACGAATGAGAGGTCGTGAATTTTCCTCTAAGCGCCCTGTGTGAGATCGTTCAACTGTTGGTTGCATCAATATGAGATCTGCTGCGCCAATCGTTCCGGATCAACACGTTTCTCATCTGACATCGACGAGCCTCAGTTCTAATTCGATAATAGTATGGTATAAGACAAAGCGGCCTCTCTTTATTTTAATCATGCTTTACTATTTTTGTATTTATTTTGGGGCAGGCCACATTTTGCCACCATTCAATGTCATTTTCTGAGCCATATTCAATCGGCCAAGACTCAAGGAGTCCGCAAATACATCATTTGTAAAATCCGATGAAAGTCTACGGTGAATGGAAGCAGAGAATGCGAGTATCTTCTATTTCACGTGTCGGGGCTCGGCAATACTCTGTACAATTCGAACTCATCCTACTGACGTGTTCCTATACCCTGCAGTATCACTTTTCACCGTTAAATCTTGAAACTTCATTCGTCGCTTGGTTCATCGCGACGCAAGTCAGCTTGTGAAGATTTCTTTTGCCATCGCATGACATTTGCTACAACTTTTATACTCAGCCTCCGAAGTGGGGTCAACAGTAGGCCGTTTGTATGGCAGAGCTAAATTTACACAAGCATGTGAGCACCAGCCAAGATCAAAGTAAGAAGGAGCAATTTTCACGGCACATGAATACGGGCCTCCGAGCAGGCTTAGCACCACATTCCTGTTTTAACACTATTTTAATCATGTCAAACATGTTTTCATCGAGTTCATCGAGATGTGCATTTCTTCTGCAGACTCACCGCCTGACTTGGGGCGGTGCAAATTGTCTTCTTGTCCAGCAAATTCTCATAGTGATTCTGATATTGATTGCCTGGAGAACAAATTTCTCTATCAATCTCTTTCGCCAGATGAGAGGTACTAAAAGGGTTTGTCAAATTGACTTTCTTGCTTTCATCATATGCATTGATCGTAGGATTCATCTGGGTCACAGCATAATCAATTTCTTTTGATATCGAGAAGAAAGCCTCCGAAGCTTATCACAAAGTCAGCGCTCGCGATGCTTTGCCTGAAAAGATGCTTTAGTGAGAACTTCAGCAATACTCTTGCTGCATTGATCTATTCTTGCGTTATTGTCAGTCTAGCAACTTTGTGTATCCTATTTCTTCTGTCCCGTGTCGATCAAACTGATCAAACTGATCAGACACACTGGAGTTTTATTGCCATTCAACACATTCATTGTCATGATTATGAACATCATTTAAGCATTAACCCACGAGCTTTAGCACTAACATACAGATGCTTGACTTCTGGGCATGAGTCCCCGATTATTATGAGGATACTGGAGTAGATGATCGAATTTTGTGGTATGAAATGTTAACTTTAGATTAACCACAAATTTTGGCTCTTGTCTAAAACTTAAGGAATCTTTCTAGATACGCCCTCAAATGAAGCAATACACGGACTAATATCCACGTTACAATCAAACCTAACCAAACTCCCCAGATTGTTCCAAGTCCCGCAAGAAGCCTTGCATCTACAATGAATGATATCAAGAGATTTCTCAATTCATCATTGATCAGCCACCAACTATACAACGGTGTTCTAACCTTGGGAATAGTATCTCTCGATTTGATTGTTTGCAATGTTTCGGCCATTTTCCATGCCACTCGATTGCCGATACTATCCCATGTTGCTTCTTCCGCCATTTTTCGACTTTCAATACTCATGGCTGATCTCAATTTAAGATCGTTGCCAAGTTTGAGAACTTTTTCAACAAATCCTTCAAGGTCTGATGGGGCCACTAAATATCCTGATCTATTCTCTGCAACAATTTCTGATGGGCTATAAATAGTCAGCTTATCCCGAGTCCATAAAGGGCATAACTCACCCTCCTTCATCTCTCGCAATGACTGGTACACCACTCGCCATTGATTCCAGAACTACCAGACCGAAGGTCTCGGTAATTGAACAATGCAAAAATATATCAGCAGAAGCATAAGCTGAGGCTAGTGCCTCGCCTCTTAGCATTCCGGTGAAGATTACCTTTCCCTTCATCACTAGGTCTGCGAACAAATCTTTTATTTCGTGTTCAACCTTTTGGCTCTGATTGCCTCCAACTATGATGAGCTTAAAGGGGAAATCTCTCTTGACCAACTTCTCTGCTACCTCGCTCAAAAATTCGAACCCCTTTTCTGGTGCAAGTCTAGCTACACAGATCATGATGAGCTCGCCATTCGGAGCCCAGTCTATTCGATGTTTCTCTAATCGCCTCGAGGGATGAAACATAGAACCATCAACCCCTCTTCTCAAATTCATCATCTTTTCCACTGGTACTTCTATCTTGACTAAATATCTTTTCACAAACGCACTTGGATAAAGTATTGCCTTTACACCCTCCCATCGGAAAAGATACCCTTGCACACTTCCAAATACCCAAACTGCCCATCTATTTAATGGTGTTGGAAATAATATCTCGCAATAGCCTGATAAATCTGTTTGAAAATTCAGTAGCACGGGAACTTGTTCTTTGTTCTGCTGCTGTCTTAGCTGTAACAAGATCTGGAATCCCAGAGATGCAGGACTTGCGAGGTATATTAAATCTGGTTTTGATCCAAAGGTCCTAGCATATAGTTGCGACAAACGTACAGGATAAACAATTGAAAGTTCGGGGTTGTAAGGTAATGGATATCCTTTTAATCTCACTTCGATATGGTTGGTATCGTGTGTTGTGGGAGCAATTGGAACTGCTCCGGTTGAATTATGAGGCGCAACAACTGCGACGGATACGCCATTCCTGCGAAGGTATTCCACCAAATTTAAAGTCGTTCTGCTGACACCATTTACAGGTCCAAATGATTCTGTGGCGAGGAGGATACGTTTTCCCTCAAGAGCTTCTGGGAATTTAAGTGGTGTATTTGTATTTGGACAATCTTTAGATAGAACCATTCTCAAATCCATTTATTCAACGTATTGGAATTGTATTCCAAAGATCTTGAGGCCAATAGAGGAGCATCGAATTAATTATCTCGTTAAAAAGGCCAATCTTTGAGTAATGCCCAACCAACAAACCGATAAGGTCTTCCATTGGGTTGGACTTTTCAGGCTAGGTTGTTATATCACAATTCCATTATTCGCCCCCCCGCCATCAATTCTTCACCACATTTCTACTCAGCACATTCTAACTATGCACTTGGAGAACACTTTCCCCCATGCTGTTCACAATCTCTGTCTTATTGGATGTTGTTTGTACAACCTCGCTCAACCAATGAAAGGTAAGATCATAGCCCCACGTGGGGAATTTCCTGGTCCTGATTTTCGGAAATCATTCAATAGTTCCATTGCTCGTTACGCCTTGTAGACAGTATACAGTTATCAAATGTCTTATCAGAGGACAATCAGTTTCAGGGAAAGCAGATGCTACGAACATTGTCGTTTGTCTTGAGATGAGTCATGAACCAGTATTGCTGTCAACGTGTAAGAATTTGTTGGCTGTCGTTTTTTGTCGAACATCTTAGAATTTCTTCGTGATCATGTCCTGGTGATGAGTGATTTGAATTCCGGGAAGTTTTATTGATATGTTCATGATGCTATCTCTGTAACATGACGGAGGGTGACTATTTTCAGCTGTGGAAGTGTACCTTCTGTTTCTGTTATCTGTTCCTTCCTAGTCTAGACTCTCAATACTTGCTCTTTTCATGCTTCCATCCTCATGATCCTTATTTACTATAGATCTATAGGGACTCGCATGTAAAAAAATTCTCAACATCACCACAATTTCTTTTCTTTTCTTAGATTCATAAGGTCCACGTTCAGAACCTTAGATCTCAATCCAGGCTTCTCAAGCTTTTCCAAATAGCATATGCGCTTCCTAGATATTTTCCATATTGCGAAGAAGACAGAAATCTCCAAATATGCCACCAAAGGATCCGACACCTCTAGATACAGACGGGAGTACCCACGATATATCAACCGCACCCACAACACCTGATGGCAGTCTTACTTTCAGTCCCATTTTACAAGCTTTGAATTTAGACGATGGTATCGTATTCGATAATTCTTTTAGAAATGAGAATTCGAGGCATCGTCTTGTACAAAATGTATGTTGTGTAGGTGCGGGGTATGTTGGTATGTGATCTCCCAATTCCAATATCATCCTGGTAGGGGTTTTATTGACTTCTCGATCTTAGGCGGCCCAACAGCAGCTATGCTCGCGCTTCAGAATCCACAAATAAAATTCACGGTTGTCGATAAAGATACTTCTCGCATAAGTCAATGGAATTCAAAACACTTACCAATCCACGAACGGGTCTACCAGAGATCATACGTATATGCCGTGATGGGTCGAGAGCGTTCTCGCTTTCCAATGATCCGTCGACTGAAAATGCTGAATCATCATCTGAGGATTCCGAACATACGGATTATATTCATATCCCAGCACGATCACCAAATCTATTCTTCGGCAATATCGAAGAATTTCTAGGCGAAGCAGATATGATAATGATCGCAGTCAATACACCTACAAAAACTTATGGAATAGGCTCTGGAAAAGCAACAGATATGACGGCCGTAGAATCAGTTGTACAAGATATTGGAAAATATGCAAAACCTGGAGCTATTATCGTAGAGAAAAGTACCGTGCCTGGTCGAACTGGTGAATTTATCAAAGATATCGTATGGTATTTAATACTCGTTTATTTTAGGAAAGATGACTGACACATCCTTTAAGCTAGCAATTCTCCGTCCTAATGAAATATTCTCGATCCTCTCATCTCCCGAATTCCTATCCGCAGGTTCTGCTGTTCAAGATCTCTTACATCCAGATCGTATTCTCATTGGTTCTTCTCGCTCCCACAACTCCACTCTTGCAGCCCACTCCCTCGCTTCCCTCTACCACTGGATTCCTTCTCGAAAACTAATCCACACCTCCACTGCCTCTTCTGAACTATCGAAACTGGTTTCCAACGCCATGTTAGCCCAGCGAATAAGTTCCATCAATAGTATTTCCGCAATTTGCGAAGCTATCAGTGCGGATATTGATGAAGTATCTTTAGCTGTAGGTCTAGATTCTCGGATTGGGAGTAAATATCTAAAAGCGGGGATTGGATTCGGAGGGAGTTGTTTTGGGAAGGATATTAAATCTTTGATTTATTTAGCTGAGGAATTGGGGTTGGATGAAGTAGTGGAATATTGGGAGAGTGTGTTAGTGGTTAATGAGTGGCAGAGGAGGAGATGGGTGGAGAATATTGTAAAGAAGATGGGTGGTGGATTGAGGGGAAAGAAGGTAGTGGTGTTGGGGTATACTTTCAAGCGGGGAACTGGGGATGTGAGGGAAAGTTTGGCGAGGGAGGTAATTGGGATGTTGTGTGAGGAGAAACCGGGGGAGATTGTGGTTTGGGATGATGGGTGTGATCGGGATGTGTTGGAGGAGGAGGTAAAGGGCGTAGCGAGTGTGAGGGTAGAGGAGGAGCTGTATATTGCTTGTGAAAGGGCAGACGCGCTTCTTATCTGTAGAGAGCTGGAAAATTCTACAAAGGGAAAAAGTGAGGAATTAGTTGACCCGAGACCATTTTTCGGGTGTCCTTCGGGAATGGATTTGTTAGAGTTAAGAAGATATCTATCATCGCAATCTTGCGCAAAGGTAGATGTGGATGATCCACTAGAAAGGCTATATCCCGAGCCACCTTGTGAAGAAGGTTGCACGAAATGCGAGTGCGGCAAAAACACAAGTGTAAGAGAGGAGCAGGCCATCGACTGGAAAAGAATAGTCAAGGGGATGAAAGCACCAAGATGGATATTCGATGGAAGGGGTGTCGTTGATAGGATTGAATTGGAGAAGATCGGAAAAGGTATGGGGGTAGAGGTTAGAGTTGTGGGAGTGGGGATGGGGATGGGGATGGGGATGGGGAGGCATGGATGGTAAATTGATCTGTGGTTAGACATGTGGATATCTTGACAGAGGAGGATATTATAAGTAATGGGAGCTGTATTTCATAACATGAAGCTTGGAGTCTAGCGACTTGGTCTCTGACTGCTTAGTCGAGTATGACCTGTAGATTTTGGGGGTAAACTAGCTATTATATATATGAGTTGGTAGGGAATATACCCAAGAATATACCGAACTAAGGAAATTCCATCCTTTGAATAGATTGAAGTATGAGTGAAGTGATGGCCACTAGTGCGAATGAAGTCTTTTCTGTCTTTATATCATACTGAAAGCCCGTCTTCAGTATGATATTTACTCACCCACTGACTATTCTGAAATGCTTCAAAACTATGCCAGTTTTACGACTTTTCATATTTCTTCCCTAGGAGATGGACTGAACGCTTTGAACATATCATTCAACAAACTACTCGATCATTGAAGGTCTCTCATTACGACAAGACAAATGTGTGAATCTCACAATATATTCCCGAGGCTTGATTGAGCCTTAAGTTCCGAGGTCGAAACATGATCATGTGATATGAATAGTCTCTCAACTTTACTTACCTAGCCCAATGCTTGGAAGACTGTTTATCAATCACCACGTTTAAGAGATATTCCTCACCTCGGAAGACCACTGATCCGCTCTCTGAGAAATGGCGATCGATGTAAAGCATTGATTGATGTTCACACCGTAGTCATGTGATTTGTCGGACGAATCCCGGAAATCCGGCACAGGTTCGCCGTCAACGATCAGCTCTTTGCGTTTGTACAGCACCATACTACCTTTGGGACATGCTCCGCGTACTACGAGACCCTATATGAATGTAGGGACCTGTTCATGTTAGGTACAGGAGCGGCGAAGTTGCAGCCGCTCAGTGATGCCCAGTATGCTGTGCATAAGCTCATGGTATGATGGACCCTAATCATTTGAGTTATGGTGCCTTGGTAGCGAGTTTGAAACTGCAAAGGGTACAGAGCGATTTTAGATTGTTATACTTTGACCATTTGACCAAGAGGCCATGGAAATTGAGAGCAAATGTAGGAGTGATGTACTCATTGAAGTGGTTCATTTGTTTCGCTTACTAAGGATGCACAGACGGCATGTTCGCATTGCAATTCCACTTGAATTTCACGATCAATCATATTCTTTTGTTTCTTTGTTTCTTTGCTTCTTTGCCACAATCATATACCTTAAAAATGACAAAAGCTTGTCATTTGTAGGGCGTGCAGTGACAGTTCAAGTAGTTCGCTTGCTGGAAGGTGTCAATCTGTAGTCTGGCGACCGTCCCTTGATCAGCCGTCCTCTTACGAGAAAGTCAAATATCTTCCGCTGAACGAACTCCAAACAATAATCTACATCGTACCATATTTAGTTTCTCGGACTCGAGATAGTTTTCTCTTTCCGCTGGAACTCTCACGGGAACTGTCCGAGCACCCATGCGTGCCTGCAATCTATTTCTCGATGAGTTTAGTATCCCGAAAGAACATCTGAGCGTTCGTACAGTCTGTACCAGTAGATAAATTAGTTTCATCCCGCCATTGGCAGCCACGTTTATGGGCGACTGAATGATTCCATCTTATCGAGCAAGTAGTCTGATGAAAACCAATTTTTGCGTATGGAGACCAGGTCCAAGCTATAATGCGAACTGCTCTAATATTAAGGTAGAGTGTTTCCCTCTTCTCTCGCCCAGTAGGTGGAATTGAAATCATTGCATTGCTGGCTCAATACTCAACGATTTTTCAATATGCGAATCCCTCCACCTCAAGTTCTGTCAACCTTTCCACAACCGAACTACATCGACCCAGTGACTAGAGGACCTGTACTTCTCATAATAACCGCCATTTTTCTCCCTCTTGTATACATTGTGGTTGGCTTACGAACCTTTACACGGATTCATCTATCCAAGCATTTCGGTATTGATGATGTGTTTCTTCTAATCGCTCTCGTCCCGACTACAGTCTGCGCTGTTGTTGCACTCATTGCCCAGGAACGTTGGAAATGGAACCGCCATATTTGGGATGTTGCACCGGGTGATGCCGAGTTTGGACTCAAAATATCTTTACTGCTAAAGTGTTTATTTGGACTTGCTGTTGCATTAACGAAAATATCTTTGCTCATCTTGGTGATGCGGGTTATGTCCAGAGGAACCGGTCTACTTAAACGTTTAGCTATTGCTATGATCGTGCTAGTGGCATGTGAAGCAATTGCTTTTGATGTGGTTATTATCAACAATTGCAGGTATGATGATCAGATTTGCTGTAGGATTGAGAAAATTGCTGATCATATACAATAGTCCCATTTCGGACTACTGGAAACTATCTGACTCACCTCAAAATTGCATCGATGAACGAACACACTTACTTGCAAGCGCAATCATTAATACTTGCTCCGATTTCTTTGTCTTCTTCTTACCTATACCTACCGTGTTTAGCCTTCCCATACCCTTCCGTCAACAATTAATGCTTTTCATCCTCTTCGCTGCTGGATTGGTCGTCTGTGCTTCTGGTGTTGTTAGGATATGGTATATACACGCTGCATATTCATCATATGATAGAACTTGGTTCTCATATCCATTATGGATATCTAGTGTATTGAATTTATACATAGGAATAGTAAGAATCCCTCAATTATCTGTCGTTGTCTCACGTCAAGAATCTGTGATATTAACCCCGATTACTCTAGATATGCACCGCACTCCCAGCTACAAAACCATTCTTCTCCACCTTTCTTCCGTCTCTATTTGGGCATAGCAATCAACCTTCGGACGGAAGTCTATACAAGTTATCGGCTCACAACCCTTCCAAGGTCAGAATGCATCCATCTCAAAACGAGCTGAAACTACCTGAAGAATCTTTCAACATTGGCGACATGTCAGATCCAATGGCTGAAGAAACGGAGATTCCTGATTATATGAGAAAATCCAGACAAATGCTTCCGCTATCATATCTGAGTTTTCAATCATCAAATCGAGGATCATCGAATCGGCGATCATCACTACAAAGATCATCAAATCCACCATCATATCATCATCAGTCTTATCAAACTTACGATACTCGAGATATGGAATTTGACGAAGCAAACCTGAGTATTGGCTCATACTTGGAACGCGGATCCGCTCGTTTAACCCAGCAATCGGATGGAACATATCCAAGTGACCGCTCAAGTTTAAGCACTTTCGTCACCGAAGAACCTGGATCGCCACACTCATCACGATTCGCCAGCAGTTTGATGGAGGTCCCATATACTTACAATCAATTTGGCAGAGCACACGAATTACGTCCATCTGAGAGTCGAGACGTCTTGATACATGCAAGATAAGAAGTAATGACGAGTCATACACACTTGTGTGTGAGACAAATCATCTCAAATCCTAAGAATTCCTGCAGAGGATTCTAGATTTGGGACACTGCAACCGCTCGGTGAAGAGATCTTAATCACGTGACCGAGTACATAATCCTAATTAAGCTCCTCAGGATCTTCTATGCGACGTTCAAGGGTATGAAAAAATCGATGCGGGGTTGTCGTGCATTAGGACAATTTGAACCGCATAAAATCGGTCAAGGTCAGATGTTGCGTTGTTTTTCACGACAAACTGTTTTCCCTTTCATACGAACTCGCCCACTTTATTAGGCTGGCGGGGAAGAGAATTGGTAACATTGTCGGTGAACGGAGGTTGCGGATGTAATGCGCAAGACGAAGAGGTTTTGCAGGATTTTCACGCTCATGTCATGACCACATGGACATGAACATGGACATGAACATGGAAATGAAAACACCTGGTATCTACCGGCTAATAGACTGTGCTGTGACAGTGGGCGAATGATGAACATTTGGGAAATATGCTGATCGTTATATCTTCACTTGTGATGAAGGAATATCAGATGACTTGATAATCTGTCCGACCATCTTTTTTCAAATTCAGCTGATTAATAAGGTAATTTAGATATATACCTAACTATCGAAGCTTATTTTGTTAATTCGTGTTTGTGGACTCTTGTGATACCCCAGGGCTTTGAATTATCTTCCTTTTGATCCAATGAGTTCCATCCAATCCGACCCTGGAATCGGAGATATAAAAAACCCATCACTTCAACCCCTTCATGAACAGTGCAGCCCCAGGGAAAAATTCGGTAAAGTAAATTGGTGGCTGTAAAATTTGAACCTTTGTAGCGGAACCACACAACCCCTACAAAATCCATTTGGAAGAAGAGCATCGACCTAGAATCGAGATTTTTTTTATGGATTTGGCGATAATAAGACCGTACTCGATATTTAGCCCAGTCGTCATCGTGAATATTTTATGCATGTTGGATGCAAGGCTTATTAGGTATCAGGTAGCGGAAGCGATGAATAGACTCACTCACACGAGTGAGTACCATAGAATGAAAAGGGACGATTCAGATTGATCACTTATACGGTCCCGAAATACCTGGATCAATCACGTACAGAGACTCAGAGCAGAGAGAATCCCGCCCATGCTTTTTGCATTGCTTAGCTTGGTTTTCCACACAGAGTAGAGGGACGTGGTGAGGGTACTCGACTAACTCAAGCAGATCCGACATATTACAACACTATAGTGAACTACTAATATTAAACGATCTACATATAGCTTTCGCATTTTTCAATTTTTTTCCCAAATGAATTGGTTCCCAAATTTCTGAAATACCCGCTTCATCTTAATGTTTCTTAATGATGGCCCTGAGGAAGGTCGTCTCTTGAATCACACAGTTTTGTAAATAGTCAGGTGTTCCATCAACCGGTAGGTTGGCGTCAGTCTGCTCTCGTGTTGGATTCGAATGATCTACAGCGTCTACGAAATGAGGAAGAAGGAAAAAAACCCCCAAGAATAATTCCGCAGCTCAAAACGGGAACAAGGTTTCAATATCGATTATCTATAGGTAATCTAGTACATGCAATTATTATTATACATACTTCACAACTTGACGTGTTTGATCCTCTTACGTTCTTTTACACTTTTCTTTTCCAAAAAAATATCATATACTTTCCTATAATAGGGGAATATACTCCGAACGCACACTTCCAACTCGAGGGAACCTTTTACCGCTTCTTTCGCCCACCTTTCCGACCAGCCTTTCAAGTAGGAACTCAGATCCCCACTACGCGTACCGCCGATTAATAAGTTTGAAGAAGAAAACTTATATCATTCAGAGAAAGTACTACAAGAGATTCACCAGTCTCGGAATTTAGATCTTGAATTTTTCGGTCCGGCACATCACAAAAGAAAATCTACGAAGAACCAGGTACCATTAGTTTTTGACGTCAACGTTACCGTACAATAGGCTTTCGTACTACACACACCATACAATATACATCAACCTCGAAAGCATAGAAGATAGCACGATAATGGTGTAAAATAACGTTGGTGATCATGTTGGAGGAATTTAGAAGTTGGAAGGAAAAGCCCGATCCATAACATATAACGAAATTCCCCTCCATCCTCCCCCTCATTTCGAGACGAAAAACTCAGATGCCATATTCTCCATGGCACCCCTCCCAACACACATAGCACGAACTGTGCTTCAATTTTCCTCGAGAGATATTGGAGACAATACGAATGAAGGTCAAGATTTATCGATATCCGAAGGATTGGTTTTGCAAAAACTTGCATTGACATTTGCAACTGCTAGTGTTGCTTCTTCGATTCTAGCTTTTTATTGGTTTGTTAGAATGAGACGTTCGTTCAGACATGAGTGAGCTTTACCCCATTTACCCCTCCATTTTTATGTCCATGTGCTGATAACCGATTAGTCTCATTATGTTATTAATTCAAAGCGATATGTTTAAAGCTTTATGGTTTATGGTTTTTCCAATCGTTGTCTTTTTACATGGTCCTGTAGCAGATAATTCAAAATTTTGTCAAATAAGTGGATTTTTTCTAGCTTTAGGAATTGAAGCTTCAGGTTTGAGATACCATTCCATATGTGTGTGTCAACATTTATTAATTCGAGTATAGATATCTCGGTTCTTATGGTTGCTGTACATACTGCGTTGTATATTTTCAGACCTAGATCCTCGTCTGGCGAAGGGGGCCTCTATCCATATCGTAGGATAGCTTACACCATTTGGATAGTCTTTCCACTTTTGACGGCGTCTCTGGCTTTTGTTAATGATCATGAAGCTTATGTTGCTCAAGGACCGTACTGTTATCTACCAGTACGACCTTTTTGGTATCGCTTGGCTTTAAGTTGGATCCCTCGATACATTATTTTCATCACCATTGTCACTGTTTATGTTTCGATATATTTCTATGTACGATTTAGGTTTCGTGGATTCGAGAACAGTCATTCTCAAGATAGTTGTGATTCGACCAGACGCAATCAAGTACGAAGGAGTCTACCTCCTCCAGCTCTAATTCTTAATGGACCCGTGACTGAAATAAGACGTCCTTCCGCTGCGTATGTTACCGAGAGAAGGAAACAATCCTCGTCGACTTTGGAATCCCTCGCCAACATGAGGAAAAATGCTCACCAATTTATGTGGACTTCAGTATTCCACTCTCGCAATCGAACTCATTCCGTATCTCCTCCATCAGAAATCTCTGCACCGGATACTGACTCATACGCTGGAGCATCAACACCACAAATCGTATCCGAGATAACCAGTCCAGCTATCTTGATGCCACAACAAATACTCAATCCACTTCCTCATCCTCAATTTCGAAATACATCATGGAGAGAAAGTATTGCCAGACGATTATCTCTCGACTCGAATGGTTCCGTATATATTCATCCCGCTACTCTTCAACAACAAAATGGATCAGCCGAACAAGCAAATCCTTACGATATGTATCTTGTCAATTCTCGCGGTCAAGATTTAACGGTATCGGAAATGATACGCACACGAGACAAAATCCGTCGTCAACTTCGATTTTTATTTATTTACCCTTTGGTTTACTTGGGAATGTGGACTGTCCCATTTGTATTCCACATTCTACAATTCAATGATAAGTTGGCGGTCAATCCGCCATTTGCGATTAATTTATTAGCTACCGTTTTTATTTGTGCACAGGGTGCTGTGGATTGTTGGTTATTTTCCACACGTGAGAAGCCGTGGAAACATATTCCCGGAACGGATGGAACTTTTTTCGGGAGTCTAAAATTCTGGGTCATCTTTTTCGGCAAGGGAAAGGAGAGACAGGGACATGGGCCGGGAAAAACGAGAAACGAAATGGCGAGGGAAGCGCGACAAGCGTACAAGAGAAGAGATCAGGAGCTGGCGCAGAGGAGATTCGAGGCGCAGGCGGGTAATGGTGTAGTTATGGAGAGAGGAAGAGGCGATATAAGTTGGTGGGATGTTGAAGGGGCCGATGGATTGGGAACGGTTGGTGTTGGGGCCGGAGTGGCGGCCATGACGCCTGTTCAGGAGGAATTTTCGATTTCGACGGATGGGGAATCTGAGGAAGTGGGTGGGCCTTCGGAGCCGATCCGAGAACATGATCCCGTTGATATGAATGCCGATGGCTCTGCAGTTAATGGGAAAGAAAGAAATGGTGATGTTTAATGGTTGGGGGGCATAAAGTATATGATTAATCAATGACGGTACATACATCGGTAGGCATAGCGTTTGAGCATTGCATAATACGGCGGCATAGCATATGGGGAAGGCATATTCAAGGGCATACATGCTGGCGTTCGAAACGGAATCAAGCATTTTTGGGAGTTATGGTATTGCATATGTATAAGCATTGGGTATGGATATGGGCATCGACCGGCGAGTCTACGGACCCGGTATTGGGTGGGAAAGGCGTTGAGGTTACTTTGCTTGTATATAAATTCCGTATTATCGGATGAATTGACATAAGTAGAATCAAATACTATCTTAAATAAACCCGCTGTGGTCGCTTTCGTGGTTTGTAGTTGCTTCTTATTTATACTTTGTTCCTGGTAGGAGATCGGATAGTTTGAACTGCCACCCACAACCAGGAACTGTCGATGTTGGGAAGCAACACGATATCCCAAACCAGTGCTCTAAATCATTCGAATCATATAGATGGAATAGGAAAGCACACACTTCTATTCCTTAGAATGCACTCACTTCGATCTTTGTAACTCTAAACCTAATGTGGTAGTCTCACCTGACGTTTGGGGTTGCTCTCTTGGTAAAGAAAGAAGGAGCATCACATATTGTTTATTATTTAAGAAGCAATCATTCGGATTCTAAAGACTTGTTCAACATCATATTCTTTTCAATAACAATAACATTCAGTACTCCATCATTCAATACTCCATCGTTAGTCACAACAATGAACGGGAACTACTCGATTAATAGGAACCTATCCAATGGGAACCACTCGAATCGGAAGTCCTCAAACGGGAGTCGTTCCAACAGGAACAGCTCGAATGGGAACCTCTTAAATGGAAACCACCCAAATGGAAACCACCCAAATGGAAACCACTCAAATGAAAACATCTCGAATGAGAACCACTCAAATGGGAACCACTCAAATGGGAACCTCTCGAATGGATCGTTGCATAGCTCAGCACCCCAAATTGATTGGAAGAATTTATTTCAGATCAGAAAAAACTGGCTCGAGAAATGTCAAGCCGAATTGCAAGATTCACAGTTAAAATGCTTGCAAGTCCAAGAGCAATGTCGAGAATTGCGAGAAAGCTACAAGGAACTCCGGGTGGCATGGCAAAATTTGAGGACAGAGCTAGAAAAAGATTGGCAACTCCGAGCGGAAACTGCAAGAGCTTATCAAGAATTTCAAACGGCGTACGAAGAAGAAAGAAAACAACGAGTTCCAGTTGAACAAGCACAAGAATTGTTTCACGACAAGTTACAGAGAGGTTTGCAGTTGTTGATAGAAACGGCACAGAATACAGCGCGAGATTCGAACCGTTTCAATTTCCATCTTGGTCGCAACCCCTCCGAACATTCAACACAGCTCGCGATGCCAAACCGATCTCTGCCTTTACGATCTACACTCAACCCAGTAGCACCTGTGTTTTCGAAGCCTCGTAAGGATACTCGTCCTCAATCTGCTGACTCGGCGTATTATTCTTCTTCATCAAAGGAGGCGGCAAATGGAAGTGAGCCTGAGATGTCCAATGGTTCAGGTACCGCGAACAGCGGCGATGCCAATTCACCATCTAACCCATCCACACTGCCGAACCCGAGTCAAATACAGTTAGGAATTCCACAGATGCGACCCAAATTTCCTCGCCGCCATAAATCAGACTCTTACCTGACTGACATGCGAGCCGGCAGAGCTTCTACTCCGGAATAAAAGACGATGTTAGGGATTGAAGATTCTACTAAGACGTACTTCACATGTCCCGTAGCTTAAGGTAGATGTGGGGGAGAATATGGAATACTCACTTGCACTCACTTGTGTCGGTCTCCGCAACTCGAGAATTTTTCAACCACAATGTTCAAAACAAAGCGACCAAGAAAAAAAAACATCAACAATCCTCTCAAAATTAAGCATTCTCAAATTGCGCAACAGCGAGATCTGTATCGATAGGAGGGATAGACATTTATCGAGGAACAGGAACAGGGTTATACATCTCTCCAAGCGAACTTCAATTTTCTTGCTGGACAGTACAGATGTTGTCTGTCAGGGGTCGATGTTCAGTGTACACAGCATTAGATGATTGTTAAAAAAAATGAAATACATTCTTCTTTTGAAATGTTCTGTGCTCCTTCTTTTGTTTGAGTAGTATACTCACATATTATTTGCATTCTGTGAGTTATGGTGTGGTGTGATCTCGATTGTGTTGCCATTCCCATTCTTGATATCTATATCTGCATCGGAGCGTCTCAGTCACTTTCTCTATTCCCTAGCTCCAAAGTCAAACACATCTGCGCAAAGATGAGACCCGGAAACCCATATGATATTTGCGATTTCATTCTATGATGTTCCGTACTTGCGGTGTTCTTGTCCCATATCTTTCATATGCAGCTTCTAAGTCATTTTTCTGTATACAGCGGGAAGCTATCGTTTCGTAGTCGCGTACTGCAAGATGGATCAAACAAATACCGGAGCAACTTAGTAGACTGAAGTTGATAAACTAGATCTCCCAGGAACCTCTTCATGTAGTGCCAAGGCAAATTCTTTCTCCCGATTTCGAATACTGATAGCCCTGAAGGTTGACCAATTTGTAAAATGATATATTGAGTCATCACAGGCTAACCACTGTCAAGATGGATGCACACCTGATGCTTCAGATCGATCACGACGATTGGCTGAATATCTATCAAGTTGTCGATGCGGTGAGCGAGAACGACTGCGAGTGGGATTGTTGTCGCCGGCTCGTCTATTGTAAGTCTGACCTAGTGTCGAAGTTGGTTTGTCGAGTTTTCCGTCTGTCAAATCTCCTTGAAATGGCGGCGGCGAGTTTTTATTCTCCCATGCAGGATCTACTATCACACTTTTGTGAAAAGCCTCGCTCTCCCAATAACGCGGGTTATCTATTTGAAACTGCTTTGAGAACTCCACCGACCACGGGCGACGAGGCTCTACTTTTTGATTACTCGCTAATCGTAGTTCGAATTGCCAATATTCTTCATTTCGGAAATCCTTAGGATATCTTAACGGCGGTTTATTGTTTCTTAACCGGAGAAGATAAGCTCGGAGAGGGCTGTCATTGGTCGCTGCCATTGAACATTGTATATAAGTATGACTCGTGGAATTGCATATTGGACATCCGTCTATGAACCCATCTTTGTTAACGGGCCCTTTGCACCATTTTAATTCGTGCCCAGACTGTCCGCAATTGCCACATACGCAATCGAGCGACTGTTGAATTCGTCCCCGATTTGGATGCGGATTGAATATCGGCTGCTGAGATTGAACAGCGGGGGGTGGTTCAACTTCCAGCTGCATTGCAAGGTTCGGTGAAGGTGCATCAATTTGTTGCGGTTTCTGAGGATTAGGGTATGGAGTGTCTTGATCTTGTGGTGGTGCACCAGACTGTTGTTGTCCTGGACATTGATCAACCTCTTAATCTTGTGATGGCGCACCAGACTGCTGTCGTTTCGAAGATGGAGCTACTTGAGATGTTGTAATGTCTTGAACTCGTGGTGACTGTCGCGACTGCCCAGACTGCTGGTCATGAGATTGACTTATTGAATCTGATCGAATCTTTTGTGTATAAAGATCACGCCAATATGTAACCTGCGCAGTCAGTGATTGAATCTGCGCATGCAAGTCTGCCATCTTTATCTGCGAATCCACTCTCGATGATCTATCAGATTCATCAATTCTATCCCCATCCTCTGTCTTGGATCTACCTCCTCCGCCAGGATTGTGTTGGTAATTGTTGTAACCACTCATACTTGGTAATTGGTTCTTGTTGTGTTGTGTGTGTATTTTCAAGGGTTGAAATATTTCGCGAAAAATCAAACAATGAGTAGCTCAGCACAGGGAATTCAAAAGAAGCGATTTCTTTTTAAAGTTACGGCTGATTGAATTGTAATTATTTCTTAATTGTTTATCCACTACCTAGTCTATTGAGAGCTGCATCCCAGAATGAAGTGAATTGTAAAGTGAAGTCTGAGAACCGTTGTTCTCTCCTCACACTGCTCTGGATTCTTTGGAACAATGGTGAATACAAATAGAATTGACTTCCTTACAACTTCGTCTCTCCACGCTCAATCCGTCACTGTTCTTATGTATTCTTTTACTCCATCACTGCTTTCGTCCTCGTCTCAGTCTTTTCGGAATTTTTCGCACCGTCCTGTTCATGCTAGTTGGGTTTGGCGTATAAATCTGGGTCTCTGTCGAGTAGTGGCTCTGGATTGAACGCTTTTTGAATAGCTAATTCTCCTCGTATAATATCTGGTAGCTGAGTTTGAAACGCAATCATGTCCGATATATGCTTATGCTGCTGTTCCATGACAGTGGCAAGGACCTTTTGCATCGCATGCTGGACATTCTGCATTGTATTCAGGGCCTCATTTTCTCGATCCTGCCTTTGAATATCTTCATCAATACGAGCCTTTAACTGTGATGTCCAATTGGTCAATTTTTGGACCGATTCATCCAGCTTCTCTATTTGACCATTGTAGTACTCGAATTTCTGATCTCGGGTCTTCTGCATCGTCTCATTTCGATCGTTTTGTTCCTTTAAACGTCGTTCCAATTCCTCAACCTTATCTTGTATCTTCTTATTTTGATTGTGTTGCTCCTCTGGACGTTGTTCCAACTCCTTCATCTTATCTTCCTTCTTCTCATTTTGATTGTATTGCTCCTCTAAACGTTTTTCCAACTCCTTGACCTTATCTTCTTTCTTCTCATTTTGATTGCATTGCTCCTCTAAACGTCGCTCCAACCCCTTGATCTTATCTTGCATCCTCTGAAAAGGTGATGACGAAGATTTTTTTACTTTACTTGCTTTATTCCCATAATTCAAGCCTAGGCGATTCGGGACATTTCCCAAACCCTTCGACATGTTCGAATTGCTTTGGTTAGATGTATCACTTAATTTATTGAGTGTTGAGGTGATGATTAGCAACGTGTCTTCTAGCTATATTGATATCTCAGCGCTATTCTTGAATGTAATGTAGTATAAACTAGCATACCTTACTGAGCAGATAATTGTCTATCGATGTAAAGTGAATGGTGAGCTTACACTTAGTGATAATGATTTCAAGGCAATACTAGCGTTATACTATGAGTGAAGTTTATAATAACAGAAATATGAAGTGAAGTATACACTATGAATGGAGTATGTACTATGCACGAAGTATACAACAATAGGATTCAAAATAGTCTTTATCCTTGTTTACTTTGATCTTTTACGAGATGGGGTAAATAGAGGGGAAGGCACGACTAGAGCGAGTGGATAGGAAATCACATAAGAAGGCGCGACTTGAGCACTACCTAGACGTATGGATGATAGTTGTGTTATGACGTTAGATCTTCTCTTCTCAAACACTTGTGAAGTCAATGGCACGAAGTAGCCATTGAATTTACATGTCTCTATTTCACCATGTAATAGTAGTAGTAAATTCATAATCGATTCAGTCTATCTATAGCTAATGCTACGCTAACTGTGCGATGCGCCTAAATGTGCTTTCACCAAGTATAAACCTGACTAATTGGTGAAATTAAGTGATTACTCTTTTCTTGTACTATAATATTAAGAGCATAAAATCAAAGCTTACTATACGTGAAATACGTAATGATTGAAGTCGAAGCAACTCACATTTTTCGGGCTCGCTAAAATCACCATCCTCACAATTCATCAATTGTCAATTGCAATCTACAACTGAACACTATATTGTCATCAAAGTATTGATCTAAGATCCAATATTATAATGCAGAAGGAAAAAATGAGGATTTATGAAGCGTTTATGATTAAAAAATTATGCGCTAGAACAGAGTTCTATTCTGAAAGAGTATTTCACTCCTAATAGAAGAAAGGTGCGTCGCTTACAGAAAATAAACTACGAGCAACTAAACACTAGGTTATAAACACAGAATTTCACAAACTTTGAAGTAACAAACTATGAGCGAGACATCGATACTGCTATCTGAAGGAGATTCAAAGAACATCTGGGAATCACGGAAGATGTATGGAAAGGGCTGATATCGAGCTGATGATACAACGAATCAAGATATGAATATTAATGAAAGTTCATAGGTACTATGAATTTCAAGAGACCACGGTGGAATTACTGGTAAATGAGTCACTGAGTCGTTTCCAGAAAATCAAACCCTCCATCCTCAAGTTTCTTTTACTTTTTAGCGAGTGCCTCGTAACTACCGTGTGATCTCACTCATACTGTGCTTGACTTCGCTCCTGGAATAAGAAAATTATTATCATCCTCCCACAATCTCTCATCACTCTTTTGTCAGGAATATAGCGAGAAAGAGTTCCAAGGCGATTAAATAAGCAACTCGGCATATCGTGTAATCATCTTCACTGGGCAATCATTATGAAAGAAATTGAGATGATCTGTTTTCAAAAACGACAGTGATAGCTTCCTTCTTATTACTCTTTTGGCAATCCGCAATGAAACACTCAATCTATCATGATTCATGGTGTAATTTTCCTCTCGTTTTAAGAAATCTGAATGACTTCCTGATGTCATCTCATTAATATCTTGTAGATTTCAAAACCCACTCCCATCTCACCTGCCTCTCTTCCTTTCTTACAACACCACTCAAAGTGATCAACTTATCCAATACCACCTCTCCATCTCCTCCTCCTCATTCATCTCCTCCTCCTCCTCCTCCTCCTCTTCCTCCACCTCCTCCCCCTCATCCCCCTCATCCCCCTCATCCTCCCCATCTTCCACCCTCCCCTCCAACTCCTCACCCAACGCACCCCTACACAAACTCTCCATCATCCCCAAAATCTCCTTTACCCCATTCAATTTCCTCCTCACCCCCTCTAAGCTCATCTCAACCTCCTCTCTAATATTCGTCATCAAATTTCCCAGAGTATCTACCTGTGTTTTAAATCTTTTTCCAAGCCTTTTCATTTTCATTTTTCTTACCCTCCTTATTCTTCTCCTCCTCCCCCATTTGATCTTGATCTTGGTTTTGATCTAGACCCGAAGAATTCGAAATTCTTGGGATCCGGGTTCCCCGTAACGCGGCATCAGATGTGTGGAAAAAATTTAGCATTGTGAGTTTATTAAAAGGAGAAAAAGAAACAATTAAAGATGGAAGTGATGGAATCACCTAGTTTGTAGGATCTTTTCTAGATTCAAAGAGAAGTAGCTGTGAGGGTTACTGAGAATACATAAATTTCAATAGGTACCTACTTGGGGTTATAAGAGATCTTTATACTACACAATCATACAAATTGATCATCGTGTGAACTTTGAGCTCTTTGGATATACTAGATAGTCAGTGAGCGCTTGCAGTTTCATGTGATGATCATACCTACTGACAAGCGACAAACATTTCTCATTTATCTCCCAGTGACTTCACCTACCTACCTATACAAAGATTCTATCAACCAAGCAATCATTTACTCCCCATTCTCATTCACATCCACATCCCATTCCCTCAGCCCATTCATCCACAAGCAACAATCCACCCTCCCCATCTCCTCAATTTCGCTTAACATTCTTCCAATTCAATCCAACGTCACTTCTCAGAGGTATCCAATTTCCACCAATTATCCCATAACACATTCAAAGCACATCTAGAATTCCCAACACTTTCCTTTTCTTTAAGTCAACATGCCTACTAATTGCTTACTACTTACTTCCATACTCAACCCCCAATTGAGAAAACATCCAACTCAACTCCCAACTTCCAGCATCAATTCTTTTCTCCACCGAGTTCATTTGATAACCTCTATTTTTCCACGCATAACCTCTCCCTCTCAATCTACCCCATTCTATCTCATCACACTTTCCCTTCGTCCCCTACACTTCCTCCTTACCCCCTCATCCACAAAGGGAAAACCCCCCTCCCTCCCAACAATCCCTCAAAATAGCAAAATCTTACTCACCCCAAATCACCAACACTACATACGATACAAATTTCCCTGAAAAAAATCTCTCAGTATATTCATATATATCAGTACTAACACAGCAGACAAACTCTCTCGCAGTTTTCAAAAATCGGATGCTTTTGATTTGGGTTTGGTTATATATATATATACATTGAGATTTGGAGATTTGGATGTTTTTGTAAGATTAAGTTTGTGTTTGTATGTATGTATGTATACGCAAGCAAGTAAATAAATTGTATCTTCGCGGGGAGTCCTCGGGAGAGGACGAAGTATATGACAGAGATTCCTCAAAAGATGAGAAGAGATGGTAACCTTAGACTATAACGCGAGGTAGAAAAGTCAATTGTATTTTCTATCTTATTTTATCTTATTTTATTTTATTTCATTTTATTTCATTTTCTTGTTTGAAGAATAATATCCATTATAAAGAAAGAGAAGAAAAAGAAACCACATTTACCTATCTATACAGTACTTATATATATATAAACAATCTAATCTAATTACAATTACAATAATAGGTAATGGTAATTCAATCCGCTATATAATTATTTGAATTATTTGCTATCTTATAAAACTTCCAGATTGTTTTGTTATGAATGAATCATAAGATATATTTATCTATTCATCTTCATTTACATCTACCTATACACCTACCTATACACCCACCTATATACCTACCTATATACCTATCGATATAGATATAAATAATAAATTCATTTCACTTCCTTTCAGATTCTCTTTTTCATCTCTATTCTCTCCTCTTCATCTTCACACCTCTTCTCTTCACACCTCTCTCTTCACACCTCTCCTCTCCTCCTCACACCTCCCTCTTTACACCATCCCAAGAAATTTTACATCTCCTACAAAACATACAATATAAAATATACAATCCTTCATTACCAAATCCTTCATTACTAAATCCCTCATTACTAAATTCACTAATATTCCTATAATATACCTAGCGAGCCTAGATAATATATTAAGAATAAATAGAAGAAATGAAGTATATTAATTATCTTATTTTACTAAATAGGTACTATTAGATATGTTTATTGGTTTTAGATAAGTTTATTGATATTAGATAACTTTATTGATATTAGATAACTTTACTATCACATCACCATCATCACCAGCATCACCATCATCACCATCATCACCATCATCACCATCATCACCATCATCACCATCATCACCATCATCACCTTCCCACACCCATCTTCCCCCACTCACAAATCACATCAAATCAAACCACATATCACTCACCACTTCAAATCAAATCAAATCACTATTATCACCATCACCATCACAAACCCACAAATCACATCACACACCCAAACCCCAAATAACCATAACCATAAACACAATCATAAAATCTCATTTTCATATCATTTCATATCATTTCATATCCCATCATATCATATCATATCCAAACAACTCGTATTCTATCCCATCTCATTCCCTCCCATCCCATTATAACCAAATAACTCATAAAATTTCATACCGACATTACCACCAACCAATCCTATCAACATCAATCATATCTTAGGTAATGACCACTGCATTCCTATTCCTATTCCTATTCTCTATTCCACACCCCCTCCCCTATTCTCCCCACCGGATACCTACATCCTAGCGAGACCGACCGCTACTGTACTGCCCAACTGAACTGAACTAAACCAAACCAACCACCCACCATCTATCCCTCACCAACCCCACATCCCCTCTCCCCTCTCCCCTATCCCCTCTCCGATTCCTCGACTAAGCTAGCCTCTTCCACAAACCCCTCTTTCTCCCCCCATCCATCCATCCATCCACCCTCTCACCCTATCGTTTCCCCCCCACATTCTGACCACTCAAACTCTCTCCCACCCCCAACTTCACCGAACTCGCACTTCTCCCAAACCCCAGCACCTCAGGCGAAACCCTCCCACTCCCACTCCCGCCACTCATAATCGCCTCTCCGGCATTCTTCCTCCCCTTTTCACCAGGACGTCACACTTCCACTTCCACTCCCACTCCCACCCTGCGAAGCATTTCCCTGGGTAATCGCCGCCCCCCCATCCCCACCCCCAACAATCAAATCCCCCGCCTCCCCTCACCTTCCCCACCACCCATTCCCTTCGCCACACTCTTCACAATCGCTCTCCGACTCACACCCGTCGCATCAATATAAACCAATCCCACATTCATGACTCCGCCGCCGATATTCCGAGAGATATTGCCCGCTTCCGGTCCATACTTATGTTCCACCACCGTCGTTGCCGCGGTCGACGTCGAAGCCAGGAGATTGCGACCCGCCTGATCAATGCCATCGGCGATGGTCGAGAAAGCCATCATGGATTTATTGAGAATGCCGGGTTTGTAATTATCCACCGGCTTGCCATCTGGACCGATTCCGCGATGAGCTTTCTGGTTACGTTTTGCGAGCGTGGCCCCGATGTTCTGTGCGTATTTCGTGACCTGTCCGACGGTTTTGGCAGAGAGGCCAGCGGCGCCTTCGGTAAAGGTGTGGACTCTACGAATGTGAGCGTGAGTGGTGGGTGTAAAAGTCATGGGTTTGGTGGTGGGTGCGGATTTGGAAGTGTAGCTGTCGGCTTGAGATGTAAGGGTTTTGGAAACATAGCTGGAGGTTGTTACGATGAGACGGGAGGCCATCGCGGCGGTCGAGACGAGGTTGGAGGATTTGTAGGCGGGGTGCATGGCCATTTCGAGGTAAGCGGGAGATGCGGGGGCGACACCAATGTTGAGGGAGCCATCTTGGGGAAGAGTGATTTCGACTGGATCTATCGAGGTTGTTAGGAAAAGAAGCGTAAAATGAAAGGGTTGGAACGATATACATACCTTTCGAACCCGGTTTCATTTTCGCATCTTCAACGACATGAAACCCTTCTCCCAACTCACCAACCACACTCCCATTTTCCTCATCCACTAACACAATCTGTCCCCCCGCATGAGAACTTGCACTTCCCGAAACATAAGCTTCTCCTGGGGCAAAATCCGACGGATTATACGCAGGCAAGGGTTCTTTTGTAGATTTCGCCTTTTCTTTCTTCGGGCGAGAGGATTGTGGAGGGGGTGCACGCTCTAGGAAAGCTGTACACTGTGCCAAGATGGTTTCAAAAGTATCGACATCATCCTGATTGATTTTCGACGCTCCTACGATGGGGAATTCGATTTTTGTAAAGACGCCACTGTCGGGTCCCAAGTCCCATCGGGGAATGAGATAGCTGCTGGGTGGTTGGTGATAGATTTGGGTGGTGGCGGGGAGGGGAAGATCGAGCTCGGGAGGTAGATGGAGATGGAGATAGAAGTCTTCTTCGGGGGTTTGGGATTGGGGATCTGCGATTGAGAGACCGGAGAAGGGGGAAGAGGTAGGGACCATTAGGAGGGAGAGGGTTTGAGGACCATTGGGTGTGAGGGATTCTTCTTTGCCATTTTCGATATGATATGCATTTATACCATTGATGGCATAGAGAAGCTTAGGATCCTATGAGATGTTAGAATCTGCGAATGGGAAATGAGAGAAATGATTAAAGAGGTATTACATTATGTCCCGATGCCATTTTGATTTCTTGTATGAGCGAAACTGTAGAATATCTACTTCTCAGAAAATCCGTGCCGTTTGTAAATAATGCAGGATCAATAGTCTCTATCCTATCTACCAAAATATCGTATCTTTGCAATCAACAAACTACCTTGTACAGTGGGGGATTCCAATGAGAAAAAACCGATGAAGATGAAGATGAACACCAAACGATAGATAATTTCCAAACAAAATCAACTTAACTTTCTGGTAGAATGAAATCTCATCACCACTCTTAAGGAGGGCGGTTATTCAAAGATCTTACGCGCTTCAAAACAGTTTGGTGGTAGCCAAGAGAACATGCAACAGAGCCAATGGCGATGACGTACAAGGAATATCAAAATCAGGGCGTTTAGCATTGCCCCTCCTTTCTGGAGGTGCCCAGTTGCGGTGAATGAGGAGAGTGGCTGAGGCGAGAGATCATCGTCAAAGGCTTCCACTCGATGGTATTCTCGGTAAAGCATTCTTGTAATGAAATATCGAATGATTCCAGGTTGTGAGATGTTTAAATACATAATAAATCCAAGATTCTATCCAAGTCTCGACTCGGGTTTAATTCTTGCAAGATAAGGGGTA